ACTCATAATTAAGCCCTAACTAGGACAATAAATGTGATGTATTCCGAGTAAAAACTCTATAAATAGGAAAATGTATATTTTTCATGACTCCACTAAAAGAAAATTTTATTCAACTTGAAATTCTAAAGCACATGTATTTGATAAGTCCACCAAAAACATCTACTATCCAGATTCTTTCAGTATTATTTTCACTCTCAATCCAAAAACAGCAAATGCATGATGTCAACTTTTCGTGTATATGCGCTCAAGTTTTGTCAAAGCCACCGAGCCTCGACACTTCAACCACATGGTTCAAACTGCCAGCAAACGTCAAAGCAAAAGCTTTGCAGCGTCATAATTTTCACTATGCAATCTCATTTACTTCCTTTGTACTCTGAAAACGATGAACGGCAACAACGTCTGCATACTGGCTAATGACTATGTGTTTGAACTCTTGATCATGTTGAGTTGATGAAACTCTTGCCGCTTGTTCCACATGAACAACACTTTTCTTTTATTCAACAACCTTGCATGGAAATGTATTGTTGCAATCTTCTCTACTCATTCACAAGCTATAGACTTTACAATGATGGTAGGGTAACGAGAAGAAATTTCTTCCTCCCGATAAATTCACATGTTGAAATTCAAATTGCACTGCATCCCAAAGTTTCGGACAGATGCATGATCTCCTCTTTTTGTTTGTTCTTTGGAACTGCAATGCGTGACATTCAAACAAGCGAATACTCTGTGCCTTGGTGCCATCCCTTTGTCAAAGCCTCGGTGACCCTGAGAAATTAGATTCAACAAGATTCCTCGAGGAATGAAAATAACTGTCATGGATTTTGGCATCATCGACTATAAAGCTTTCTTGTGAATCACTTGCAAGACAGAGTAGACGGATGCACGGAAAGATTTCATAAATTTCTCATTGAATGTAAATTTTTTCAATCATTTTCAAGACAAAACAGGTATGAAACAATTAATTCATGATGTTTCATGTTTTAGTCTGCAATTCTGAAATTTTTTATTCTTTTTTTTTTATTGCCTGAGTACATGATAATAGTCATTTTTTGGAGTTTTTTTCCAATTCACAACACATATCATCATATTTTTTTTAATAGCAATATGTATGAAGTCTATGGGTGTATAACGGAGTCCAACATTGGGTGTCCATGCCCAAACCGACCCATGGGTTTTGGGTGACATTATTTTTCCATGGATGGGCACAAGTAATGCTAAGGGCAGTTTTTGTCAAGATCCAACCAAAAATTTGCATAATTTGAGTAGCATGGATGGGTTTAGGTCGCTGCTGATGATTATGGTCTGGTGTAGGTGCAGATTTGAAGTAAAATATTGGCCTCCGGTGTATAAGCATCTCTTGAACATTTCAAAATTATTTCTTACTACAAAAAGAAAAATTTATTCGTATTGCAAGAACAGATGACATCAATCTTCAAAAAAAGAAGAAGTAGGATTCATAATTAACTTTAATTTTCTTATATATATATTTATGAAGTATGACTTATTGCACCTTTATGTGTAAAATTTTATAGAATTATGATTAAATTTTGATGTGATCTTTAGTGTGCTCACAAGCAAGTATTGCAAAAAGCTTATTCTTATATCTTGTACACATTTTAGATCTTGAAGATTTAAGGTTTGTCATATATCATGAGTAACATTATGATCTATCTTAGGATTTAGTCAATGATTCAATATAATTGACTTGTGTGAATCTTGAAATATTAAGTTTTGTTGCAAATAATGTGACTTCATGTATGCTAGTATGTGTGAGAGTTAATATGCAATATTAAGAGAGCAATTATACCTCACACTTGGATACAAAAATGGAACAAAATCCTTAAATATTTATGAATACAAAGTTAGAAAGGTTTACATGGTGTCAATCCTGGACATCTAGATGAAGGTGTCTTTAGAGATATCCAAGAAGATTACGTTAGATACATATACATATTGAGGATGTATATGCTTCGAGCGTTTGTAGTGGCATAAATAAGTTTTGTTAGAGTATGGTAGAATTTGTCAAGATAGGTGTAAACTGCATATTTTTTTGTATTATTTCATTCCATATTTAGAAAAATTGTATTTGCATTACAGTGTATCGTGCTTTTGCTCTACATGATTGAACAAAAATTATTTGGATTGGTGAAAATTGTTCTGAGTTCCAAATTCCAGTACTATACCCACAAGTACTGGAAACACGGTAGAAGCTTATGAGAGTAATTACTTCTATTTTCTTTTCTGAACCGTAGATAGGCATTTTCTGAAGGTATGCATTTTCCTCTTATTGTTGGTTTTGGGTGGCGACTTTTGGATGCATGAGGTTTATTTCTTTTGTTTAAAACCGAAGGCTCACAATTTTAAAACACAACCAAACTCTTGTAGAGTTCTAGCTTCCATTGTTGGATGATAGCGATCTTAAGCCTTCAAATATATAGCAGTATGAGGTAAGTGAGAATCTCTTAACATTTTATGAATAATAAGAACAGTACTGTAAAAGTAGTATTTTCGTGGTATCTATCATTAATGCATATACTACTTCAATTCTTCATTAAATTTCTCTTAGGAAAGGGGTAATGAGTCACAACTCCAATTAAGACAAAATAAAACGAGAGTACGTCGCATCGACCATTTTCGAGATTTTTGCATCGACGACACTGCGTTCCCCAATTATGGATCGTACGTTCAATAGAGACAGCACTACAATCATGGAAACCCCACTTCAACATTCTACAAAGGAAGTAACGCATGCTCAGAAGCCCCTATTTTAAGTTGTAAAGCAAGAGGAGCTGACACGCGGACATGCACGGACAGGATGGCAGTGTTACGATTTACCTGGCGCATGCTAAACCGGTCTCACACATGGACTCAGTATTAGTAAATCGAACTAAATCATCGCTGTGAAGGTAGAATGTTGATAAGCACGTAGCGAACGCGCTCTCTTGTGGCTACACCGCCTGAAAAGGTGTGAGACTGTCGAAGATTCTGAGAACGAAATTGGCGCCGGCATGTACCTGACGGATCTGCGTGATGGTCGCGATCTGTAGCTGATTAACCAACTCACAGCCTCTGCCTTCGATGAATAGTATTACATGTTTCCAAGAGCCCTGGAGACTTCTGAGCTTCAGGAAAAAATGTAAACTAGTGCTTAATATAACGGCAAGGGGTCGTCCAGCAGCCTTCTGACCACTTGCTTCCAAGCAGTCGTTAAATCGTTGCGAATTTCAAATCGGATCTCTGCGTCCTGTGTTTGCATATCTCATTTGCAAAATTCCAGTCTGTCAGTACGATTATTTGCACTCTGCATCGAATGTAGGACTGAGATTCTAATCCTGGCGCCTCGGCGTAAACCCAAAACCAATCCATATTTGGATGAATGGAAGCTATAGGATGACATGTACAAGTATTGTACAGAGATGGAGGCCCAAGAAGGCTACAATTTTTTTAGTCTCACACTTTGAACAACGCGTGCTTGCCACAACGGGCAGATGCAGGCCGAGTGGCGCAAATGCCCACGCCCACCGAGGTGGTGAAGTTGTGTTGCCATAGACATATTTCTACTTCCCTGAACTGAGGCCATGCAGGTTTCGATTCTCACGATCGACACTGCAGTACTGGAATGTCCTTTGGCTGCTTAGCTTGCCACCGTTTTGATAATTCCAACGGTTCCATAACAACTTATTTTGCACGTTCGCTTTGATGGTGGGCAAAATTCGAACGTGGGATGAATGCTAATAATAATACACAGGAATTTGTGCCCGAGGGTAGTAGACGACGACGCAAGCGAAAGAAAATCGGAGGCGGACTGTAAACTGAAAAGAAATGCTGTCTGGAAGAAGAGCAAGAGGCGCCACAGAAACCTAAAATGTTGGCAAAGATCACGATGAGGATAAAGCAGGACTCGGACAGATGTAGGCAGGGGTTAGAACCGCTTATCCTGCAGAGCCCACGCACATTCACCGCTGGATTGCTGGCTTGATTTCTCGCAGTTGCAGGATCCTCATCGGAGGTCATCGTAGGATGACACAAGAGAAGGCAGCGAGGTCTGGGGACGTGAGAAGAAGCAGTGAGCAGTGCGCAGTCGGCCTCACGAGGCTCGAGGACAGGGTGAGAACGATTCGCATAGCTCAGGGATCTTCTGTGACGAAGCCTACGGAGTTCTGAGCGAGCCCGTCGGTAGCTGACGACGGGGCAGCCAAAATGACGAGATTGATGCCGCTCAACTAAATATGGTCATTACGCTCGCTCTGCTTTATCTTCCCGTGGCGACAGACAGACGCTAGCTTACAACGAGCAAACGAGAAAAATTTGACCGTTGACAAACCGGCGAGTCAGAGATCGCCGGCAATCAGCGATTCCGACAAGCAACAACTGTCTTCAGAGTCCAGAGCCCAGAACCCAGTGCCCAGACCTGCCAGAGGCCAGTGTCACCTGGTTGCCAGTTGGGTACGACGATTTCGCTGGCTGATTGAGTCCACAGCATTCTGCGGGAAGCAGGACCAAGGGGCCAAGTGCGAGCGCCTAAGATGGGAACAGGTGGCCCAATCGGAAGCCACGGGCTCAGCCCTCGGAGTAGCGCTAGGAGCACGGGCTGCCTACAGAAACCTCGTGACTCGCCAGGTGTGAATGGCATAGTTCGCACAGCGCTAGAGGCTGGAGCATAAGTGGTCCGCCAACAGCGATTGATCTGGAGTTGATTGCGCCTGGCCAGTTGGCGAACTGAATTTCTTGTGCATGGTAGCCTGTAGGGAGGGACATGGGACGCTGGTCCTGGCCGGCCTGCCTGCCTGCCTGATTCTGACTGCATGTGCCAGTTGGAGCGAAAATAGTTCTTCCGGAACGGGTGGTGCTTGTTCGGTGTTAGCAGACATGGTTCCGTCTCGCGAAGCCTTCGTTGGCGTTTACATCGGTGATCGTGCAGGCCACGACTGTAACATTGTCTTAGGATCCTTCCGAGAAACAACATGAGCAGAGACAGAGGACTAGTGCAAGAAACAGACTATGTAGTGAGCACATTGCGTGCAAAAAATCGATAAGTTTATTCAGGAAAAAATTGGCTCTTTCTAACAACAATGGGCAGCTAGCTTCATCGCACTTACAATGATCTGATCTTCGGTACCATGTACGGAGAAATCTAGGCCGGGGACAAAAACAGCCCTGTGTTGCGGTGTACACAAATTGGATAGGTCACATCCGAGTCACCACTACTGTAACCACACACCGCTGACTTCCTCCTTACCCTCACCTTCCGTGCTTCAGTCGCAGTTCGGATGATGACTGCACGGTCGGGCGGACCCACGAAGAGGAGACAAGACAGGCCGAAATGTGGGGGCTGTTCGTGTTTGCAAAATGTGCATGGTCAAGAGCGACTACGTGATCCGTTATGCTGGCGAAGTGCGGGATGTGGGATCAGATGAGGACGTCGGTACATCGGGGCCGACCCTACAACCCTCGAGCATGAACACCACTTCCGTCATGGAAGGTCGATCTAAGGGGTCGGGAGCCGTGCACAGCAGAGCCACTTTGACGGCAAGCAAAAACTCCTCCCACTCGGATGATTCCGGGTCCAGCTCCAGCAGGCTGGGGTCGAAGAGCTCTTGGATCTGTCCACTCTGCAGCTGCCGCTTCACCCACTTTACAATATCCTCGTCCTGTGTGAATACCACCGGCCTTCTGCCGGTCAGGAGCTCTAGTAACACAATGCCGAAACCGTAGACATCGGATTCGCGGGTCACTTGCCCCGATACGACGGCTTCAGGCGAGACATAGCCCAGAGAACCCACAGCAGTGGACGAGGAAGAAGGGTCCAAGGGCGTGACGGCCAACCTATCGAGGCCGAAATCTGATAAATGTGCTTCAAAATCTGCGTCGAACTGTACATTGCTAGGTTTGACATCTCCGTGAATGATCGCGGGGGTGCACTGAGTGTGCAGGAAAGACAGTCCTCGGGCGACTCCGAGTGCTATCAAGTGTCTCATGGGCCAGTTTAAAACATGCCCATCTTGATGAGACGCTTCCTGTAAGAGGGCGGCGAGGTTTCCATTTGGCATGTAGTCGTAGATCAGAAGCTTGACATCCCCGCTGACGTAGTAACCGCGCAACACAGTCAGATTGCGGTGTTTGACTCTTCCTAAAGCCTCCGCTTCGTGTCTGAAGAGGTTCTCTTCCACGACCCCATCCGGCAGTCTCCTCACGGAAAGCACCGATCCGTCCTGTAAAAATGCCTTGAACACGATCCCGTATCGCGTTCTGTTGAGCACGTGCTCTTCGTCGAACTGACCCGTGGCTTCCAACACATTCGCGAAGGTGATCGGACTTTGGAACATGATCAGCTTGTGGTCGCCGAATGGAACCGCTTCGCTTTCTTGCCTCCTGTCGCCCCTGATGAAGAAGACCACTCCCAGCGCATAAATTGCCAAGAGAATTAGTCCGATCCCTCCGCAACCCACAGCAATGCCCACTATGGCACCCGTGCCGAGACCACCACCGCCGTCCTTATTCGATGGACTTGGTGCAGAATTGCTGTCACTTGAAGGACAGAGGCCGGAATTTTCTAAAGGCCTGCCACACAACGATGGGTTTCCTTGGAACGAACTAGCATTGAACCTGCTGGCAAGCTCAGGAGGAATGGATCCCTTCAGCTGGTTGTCTGACAAGTTCAACATCTGCAAGTCAATCAAACCCCCCAATGTAACGGGGATTCCGCCGCTAAAATTGTTCTGGGAGAGATCGAGTGAAGTCAAAGTAGTCACATTTCCCAATTCAGATGGAATCTCGCCACCCAAATCATTCATTTGAAGATACAGACCCTCTAAATTCTGCAGCTGGGAGATGCCGGGTGGAATTGGACCCACTAGTTGATTGTCGTCAAGGTCGAGGGTGACGATGCTCGAACATCTCCACAGCTCCGAAGTCACATTTCCTACAAGTTGGTTCTTGCTCAGGTCGAGCACCTGGACATTGTATAGGTTACCGAACTCCATGGGAATCTCTCCGATCAAAAGATTATCGGCAAGAGAAAGAAACTTCACCTGCTGAAGGGAACCCAACTCCGCCGGTATATTGCCTTCCAGCGTGTTCTCATGGAGATCAAGCGTATGAAGACCCGACAGGGAACCTAAACCTGGAGGTATGCTGCCGTTCAAATAGTTGGTGGAGATGTTGAGGATCTGCAAATTGCTGAGCGTCGCAAGGCTGCTGGGAAGAACTCCTGTCAGGAATTGATTTCCGAGCTGCAACGTCTGTAAATTTGTACACTTTCCCAGCTCCGGAGGAATGGATCCAGAAAGACCGTTCGAACTGAGATCCAAGACCTGCAACTGCTGAAGAGAACCCAAGGATGGCCAAATGACTCCCGTGAAGCTGTTCGAGTGAAGATCTAAAACTTGCAAATTCGAAAGTTGAGAAAACTCTTGAGGAATTCCTCCATCGAGATTGTTGGCGGCTAAAGAAATGGAGGTTAACCCACTTAAAGAACCTATCCCCGATGGTATCGTCCCCGTCAAGTTGTTGTGACTGAGATCAAGCGACCTAAGATTAGTAAGTCCCGTGATGGTTGAAGGGATGGGACCGGAGAGGAAGTTATTGGACACCGTGAGCACCTCCAACTGGGTGAGCTGGTTCAGAGATGTTGGAATAATGCCGGAGAGCTGGTTGCGGTCCAATCTTAATGTCCGTAACCCTGTGCTTCCGCTGAGAGACGCAGGTATCCCTCCGGAAAATTGATTACCTGTGACATTCCACTCCTGGAGTTGCTTCAGACGATCGAAAACGTCAGGTATATCACCAGACAGGAGATTGTCATCCAGATTCAGCTTCTGAAGTGAAAGTAAGTTGCCCACATCGTTCGGAAGACTCCCCGTTAATTTGTTGGAGTGAATATCCAAATACTGGAGGTTGCTTAGGGTCCACAAAGATACGGGGATGGAACCCTGTAGTCCATTGCTGCTGAGATCCAGCACCTGCAAAGTTTGAAGGTTGCCCAGCTCCGTAGGTAAAAAACCTGACAGGTTGTTGCTGCTCAGACCCAGTGTTTGCAGACTTTCGAGAGAGCCGTACTCTTTAGGAATGGGTCCGGTCAAACCATTCTCGGTCATGAACATCACTGTCAAATTCGCACAAGCGCCCAGAGAACTTGGTAGGTCCCCATACAAGGCATTGAACGAGAGATCGAGAGACCGAAGCGATATAAGGTTTCCAATCTGACTTGGAATGATGCCGACGAGTCCATTGCTCGCAAGATTCAAGACCTGCAGATTCCGAAGATTACCGAGCTCCAAAGGGATCGTACCGGTCAGCGCGTTTTCGTGCAGATACAGGGCACGTAAATTGGTGAGATTGCTCAATGACGATGGAATCCGACCACTGAAATGGTTCGAGTGCAAACTGAGTCTGCGAAGATCTCCCAGGAGGCCGAGCTCATCTGCATGGGGTTTAGACAACAATAGAGTCAATACAAGCACAGGACAGACGTATTTCGAAGACGACTAAACGAAGCACCAAGTTTACGCTACATCGGAAGCTCAAAAGTCATGCATTGTGTCGTCCGTACAGCAGTTACGATGCCTTCATGATGGAAATGACACATGGGGCCAAACAAAATGAATGGGCCAAGAACAAGACGATCAACCGTGTTCCCGGGATAAGAAGCGTACGAACCATTCTCGAGTCACAAAAGATCAAGGACGGTATGCCATAATTACCAGCTTAGCTCATCTTAAGTGGTTTGATCTCTAATTAAGTAGAAAATCAGATTGAAGAGAACAACAGATGCGGGTTCCATGTTAATAAGAAGGAACACAATATTCAAATGCAAACTTGGTTTGATAATCCGCAAACCACGTTGAATACTTATTGATCTGAAAATGCGTAAAAAGTCGCGAAGGGATACAGACCAAAGCCCAAAAAGTTGATAACCGACCATCACACTCTGCAGATACCACGCAAGGCCCTCCGATGATGCGTAAAGTAACAATACAAGAAACCGGGTATATCGTTATCCGTTCGAAGCATTCACAGCCTTCTTGGATAGTCAAAAGAACGTTCACTTCTACCGATAAGTTCCAAACGGTGTCTGTCGACCACTTCGCCACTCTTTCCGTAGACAGTGGTACCGTGAAAAGACCCCGTATAAATCTTACCGTGCGTATAACTCGGTCGTACCACTAACACCTACGGCTGGTCATGCGTGAATTTGACCAAGTTATATTTCGCACAAATCGGCCGTGAGTTCAGAGAAATGCCACTTTTCAGACCACGCGACTATCAGTAGAACAAACTTTCTACTTCATTCCTTACAGCGGTTCTCTGGCCTAAACCTGACCGTGGCTACAGATCTGACTTTCCATGAAACAGAATCCTTTTGGACTCCGACACTGAAAAGAAATCAGATACGGAATGGCCTTGGCAACTTTCGAATAGTGGAAAGGTCTGCATTCTGCACATGGACTCTGGATCGAAATGTCGCTCGCGCGCATGAACTACGCATCTAATGACAACACGTGCCCGTCGCGGCGATAACATCTGTAACCCCTCGTAACATCGCGACTCGATCTGCGACGAGCAGGGAGATGACTGCAAACGAATCGTACACACATTGCAACTGAACTCAAGATTCCCGGAGTCCACAGGAATAAATGCGAGTCTGCGACTCCCGAAGAGAGGAAGAAAGAGAGAGGAACAGAATGGCACCTGGTAATGGCCCACTAAGACCGAGTGCAGGGAGCTCAACTTCCGAGACTCTCCCACGCGTGCAGCTGATGCCCCTCCAATTACACGGGGCAGAGATGTTATTGCTATTCCAGCTGACGAGGGCGCCATTCTTATCAGTCACCGATCTCTGGAATGCTGAGAGAGCAGACAAGTCTGTCTGCAGGGATCCTGCAGCGGGGACTGCATCCTGAGCTAATACCCTACTACCATTTCCTACAAGGCTGCAAAGGCATACCAAGATCAGGCCAAGAGCATACGCTGTAGCTCCTCCCATTACCCGATTGCGCCTCCTTCTGTGGCATTCCCTCCCTGCCCTGTTTGTTCCTCGCCCCAAGAACAACAAACACCTCGCTAAACGCTGAGGCGAAGAACCCGCACCGAACAGACGGAGGATGGAGGCACAATCAAATGCCTAACCTGCGCCTGACTCTCATTTTTTCGTAACAAAAACCACTATTCCACCACCTCCTCCTAAGCTCCCAAAGATTGTGTCTGCATATCCCAACCGTAAACGCCTCGCATCCGCTGCTGCTACCGTCGCCGCCACAACTTTCGTCAGGAACACTGAAGAAACCATTTCTTCTCCACACCATGAAAGCTCGAAATGTCTGCCTCTGCTTTCGCAATCTTCAAGGTGCTACCAATTCCTGACTCCAGTCCTCCCACGTCCACAGCAGCAGCGGCCGCAGCAGCGTCTCCTCATGCTTCGTTCACTCGCTCTCGAAGAAAACCCGAGCTTCGCTTCCCTGCTCTCCGCTCCTTTACCCTCTCTCTCCCTCACTCACTCTCTTACTCTATCTCGCCCACCGCCACCTCCCTCGCTCGCTCCCTCGCTGACGCCTGCCTCAACTCACCTCCTCGTCACCACCCACGACTCTCCAGCTCGAAAACACTCCGCATTGCTCAATCGTCCAACAATTTCTAGCGCCTGCAAATGCTTCCTGGTCGCCTCCACGGGTCCAGGAGCCCAGAGCAGAAAATAGAAATTCCGCACTCGTGCAGCTCCGCGGTCCTCTCGCCCCTCGTCACTCGCACTCGCAGCAGCAGCAGCGACAGCAATCAGCGCTGCGCGACCGCGCGCAAACCATCAGCTTCGTGTAGCATCGCGTCGCGCTGCACATTCCGGGCCGCTTTTCGCTTGCCATGCTCCGCGGGGCCTACCCAGCGCTCGCAACTTGGAATCGCCTCGACGGATTCCACCCCCTCCCACAGAATTTGCCGCAGCGGCCCCAGCTCCGGCCGCCTCCTCCTCTCCCGCTCCGCCTGCCTTCGTTCGCTTCGTTGGCTTCGCCTCCACAACGTGCCGCTCCTCCTCCCGGCGCTGCTGCGGCCGCTGCCCAGCGTCTCACGCTCTCGGAAGCGGGAAAGGTCGGGTCACGCAGCGAGGCAGCACGACAAGACAGGGCAGGGTCCGGGCGGACGAGAACCGTCGGTCCGTCGTTTAGTCCGACGGATGCGGGAGGAGGAGGACGCGGTTCATTTTCTTGCGTTTTTGCAGTTTTCCGGTTTTTCCATTTCAAGGCAAGGGGAAAAAACGGAAAACTGCAAAAACGCAAGAAAATGAGCGTTCCCTTGAAATGGCTGGGGCCGGAATCTTTGGGGGTTTTCTCCGCGGCCATGTGATCGTTAGCGGGGGGTTATGCGTAACAGACCTTTGGGAAATCTACTGGTTTAAATTTAATCGCGCTTCTTGTCTGGCCTCGGATCGCACGGCGGGGGGCATTCCGGCCTCGGGCTCGTGCGATGGGGCTTCGTTTCGGCATATATTTCTGTTTTACGCCTTTCCTGCGGGACGATGTCCTGCGGGTGTCCTTCTTGCCTTGCCCTCCGCTGCGCTGCTTTGCTTTGCTTTTCCGTGCTTTGTTAATTGCCCATGCGACCCTGCGAGCATTTGGGGTGTTGGCACACTGCGAAGATTTTGGGTGACACTTTTCTCAGGTATATCTTTGGTAAAAAGACCTGCATACATCTTCTTTCTGCTTTTCTTTCTGCTACTGTCTTTTCGTAGCGAGCGTGCCACTCCGATGCCGTAGAATTCTTTTAAAATAATATATTTATGATGATAGGATGCGTGAAAGCTGAAGACGAAGTGAAGGAGAAATTCGACCTTGAATAGCGTGATGACTAGGTTTAGTTCATAGAGGAATGACTCACATCAAGAACCCATTTTAGTGTTCGGCGGTCGTGGAACTCCATGACTCACATCTTCCATGGGTGCTCGACGTGGTGTGATTCCTCTGCGAAAGAAACCTGGTGTGGTGGAGGGTGGTATTCCGCTAACATTGAATCCTGACACAACATCGTTGAAGCATGGATAAGAGTCACATACGTACTCCAGTAGACGCCCACAATCCCAAGTTTGACAGTTAAGTGAAGAGCTTCCTCCTTTCTCCCAATGGCGCACATACCAGAATGTCAAGGGTGCCATGTAAAGAAGTGAGCTGTTCAGCTTTGCTAATTTTCAGGTATTGTACTAAAGGCTGGCCTAGGATGAACGCTGACGGAATAGTTTACAAAAATTTTAAGTGCTCGTAAGATTTCAACGTTGAGATGATTGAAGACTTTCAATTTAATTCCTCTTTGACTACTCAAAGATTTCATCGTTCAAATGCCTTCTCTAACACCCAGAGAAGGCATCCGTAACAACAAGTAAGTACTTTGGGTACGAGAAAATGCTACGAGGAAAACATAACTTAGGCCATGCAATGTATACGTCTGAAAGTATAGCGTAGGAACCGCTTCTGATTAGACAAAAGATCTGTCTAATCATTAGTTCGTAGAAAGGTTATTCAGAAAGGGACTCTGCTGTCTCGAAATTGCCCTCATGAATCTCCTCTATTTATTGCATTCAAGACATCCATACAACCCGTTCCAGTCGTACGCATCAAATGTCAAATTTCTTCTTTCCGAAGCTCGAGTAGCTACAATCGCAATCTCCAATATCAATTGGTGAAGGTTGTAAGTTCTTTCTCCATTAATATCAACCTCAATTCCATTATGAATGTCAAGTCAAAAAGGTAAGCCTGTAAGCTTTACCAACCATTTCCCAGTTTGACGGCGCTGAAGCAGAACTTCTACTACCACATCACGAAGTTCATTGTCCCCATCCTTCCTTGCAAAAGTTTGTTCGCTCTGTCCTTCAGATCAGTGAAACATGCAGGACTGACCAGTTTCATTGTACTGCAGTCTCCATTAGGCGACGATGGACCGTACTCTAACCTCTTGGATATTGGCCCCAAAACAAATATCGCCAAGTATATGAGCTTTTATTTCTGAAAATATCATCTTTGGGCAATATACTGTGTAGCACTGTTTTTGTCAAGCAACTTGGTGCTTGCTCTTAGATGCTCTCGAAGGAAAGGTCGCGAGGACTGTAGGTTGTGCGAGGACGAAGTCCGCAAAAGTACCATGTGAGATTCTTCCAAAGATTTCGAAATCTTTTTTAACTTTGAAGGGACGTCGATACGTGGAAATAAGCGAAACGTCGAAATGTACTAAACAATAACACTCGGCACTCTCACAGACCTATCCAAGTGTGAGGCACGAGTTTGTACCTTTCAATGATATTTTTTGAAACGTATCAAAGACTTGTGCTAGAGGAGGGGGCACATTTGGAATTCAGCCCTCTTCACCCCACCTCCAGCATGTGACGCCTTTCATTCTCACATCTTAGTTTCAAGCTTCTCCCAAGTCTTGGGCGGAGCCGCCGGTTAGAACAAGGCACATTCCGAGGACATGAGGTGAGAGAATTCATGGACGACTAAATAGCAATTTATATTATCTAAGAGGAGTTCTGCGAAAAGTTCTCATCCATAGTCAAATGGAAAGAAACAGAGTTGTATAAACAGCAAGAGTATGGCAAATGAAGATAAACGTCAGCATGAGGAACGAGGGTCATATAGATAGAAATCCGCAAGGGGACAAATCCTGGATATAAATGATATCCAACTAGAGGAGGCACATCGTGATGCTACACTGCAATGTACTACAGTAGCTATCCATCCATTTCCACTGTAGCAAGCTCTTGCTAGACCTGTAGATCCTCCACCTGCCAGTAGAAAAGTACTGGACTGGAGAGGCTCGTGTGGGAAAAGTAGAAGTGCCCGATGTGCCCGAAGTGCCCGATAGGTTTCACTCAACCAGGTTGTTCGGTTGGGGAATGTCTTCGGCCTTCGAGCTTCTGTCTCTTGCAATTAACGGCAGGAGGAAGCATTACTATCTCCTTGCGTTGTCTGGATACCTTATGGCTAAGGTGCGCGCCGCTCTCCCCTTCTATCGATCACATCAATCAAGGAATTTAGTGACTCCAACGACTCCTTCGACATGCAATCTGTTCATCAGAAACTTGCGCAAGGAGCTACAGAGTACACGCCATTGTGCGAGAGGTTACAGTTCTATGCGACATTCGATATACTCATTTAAATCATATTTTTAAGTACCCTATATACAATTCTATGTGCAATAGAGAACTCGCGTTATATATTACTTCTTAGATGCTACAGTAGTATAAAGATAGTTCTTACATGTTACCCGGAGTGGTAGATATATGCCCATTTTGATACTAGTGGGTCTGCACCAGCATAATCCCTTAATTTTCATTCTTGTACTAGTTAATGGGGTCTTCCCATCATTTGTTGCTACATTAGCTACCGCAGAAGATGTCACTTATCTATGCTGGCGAAGTCACGGAACCAATAGCAAAGCAATTAACGAAAGAAATACAAGCTTAAATGAAAGGAGACATAGAAGGATCAAAGCAAGCGGGCAACACATGAGTGTTCCAACAAAAGTTGTCTTGACCTCGAACATTCTGCATTATATCGTGTGGTTGACCCTTTGTTCTGCTGGAGCGTCTTTTAGAATGCTCGCAGCGTCCGGACTCTAGTGACAAACGAAAACGATGAGAAGTCAAGTATCTTGCTAACTTTCCGAAGTGAAAGTTTCTAAATATAACAGATACAGCTAACAGCCCAAAGTCAGCACATTCTAGATGCTTACCAAAAGTCACACCTGATGAGGATCAGTCGATTTCGGGTCAACTCCTGAGGATGCTTCAGTATCGTTGTACCATGTTGAGAGACTGCAGATTCTCCACTTGCGAAGACTTCATCAAGCCTTTGAGACGTACTGTTGATTGCTTGATAATCTGGCTATAAAGGTAAGTGATGATTAAGGAAAAGGGAAATGAGGGCGATTCACCTTCAGGGGAAATCACAGTGGCGACTTCCCCTCCACTGTATTGATACGTTTCACAATTCAATCATGTATGTCTTCTTAACCTAAATCAACGCCAAAAATATAGATTGTACACACTTGTTCTCGTTCCAGGCAGCAAGAAAAAATTTGTTTGTTCATGAGGATGTTATCCATTTTAATTTTATCCGGTTCAGTGCAGTTATTTTTATTTATGGGTGGTATGATGTGATATACATTTATAACCTATAACTTGATTCGAGAGACACCATTGGGATACGCATCCCAATGTAAAACAATCTAATATATCAGAACGATGGGAAGAACCCATCAAAACGTACTTGCATGAGCCCAAAGAGTGAAGATGGAACTAGCCTCAATAACGCAACCCAAGCATATTGCTGGTCTGTTAGGACCATCTGGGAGTAATTGCAAGGGAATGATGATGACACATGTCTAGAAATGAATGCCATTCAGTAAAGCACCGGAGTAGATTAGCAGTGGTCTTATAAGAGAAAGGCCATGATGTGAACATCTCTCCGTCCTCTAAAGGAAATGTGAGAACGACATACAGCATATGAAACAAAAAGCGATGTTTCCTGTACTTCATGCATGCAGCAGACATTGAGGACGAGAGTCATTGGAAGATCATGAAGGACGAGGAGACGAGAATGAGATCATTGCCTTGTTATCATATCACGATTCAAAAGTCTGAAAGTGAATAAAGGCACACTTTTCACTCATAATTGTAGCTTATTATGATCACTGCAGTATCAACCCTCAAGCCGCAAATCGTAACTTCCTTTTGCCCATATGTTTGATTTGAAATGCCAAACCCAGGAAGGCTTGAAAATATCAGAGAAGAAGAAAGCAATTTAGTTCTTATCTCGTCCTGCAGATTTCCTTCTTCTTAATAGGAGCATGCAATGTCTACCAAAGAAAAGTACATTTAATCCATTATACCCTAGAAATGTAGTAAGATGGGATCAAAACAGCAGCTTCAAACCTTGGCATGAGTATTTGTTAGATCCAAAAATAATGTGGATTTCCTAAAGATAACTGCTTCACAATTTGGGTCTACAAGAAATCTCAAATTACAACTCTGAATTGTTTTTGGCAACTAGAATCCACTTAGATTCTCGATCGTTTTCATGAATGCATATATGTCTTAACTCCCACCAACCCTTTTTAAACATACTTTATCTTTGATTGGTCAAGGCATGCATGGTAGAAGCAGTTCATGCAAGCGGTATAAATTTATTTGTGAAATTAGAGTTTCTTATAGATATCTCTTCACTGTCAAATGCCAAACTTCTGACTCCTTGCAGGTGATATAATGAGCGTAATTCACATGAATTGACAATGCCAAGGAGCAAGCAGTCGTAACAGTAGGACTTAGTAATTCTACTTAAACTATTTCCGAGCTTTTTACCTCCAAGTATGATAATTAGTCTATACGAACTCTGCTTTTCCTTCCAAACTCTATGATCTGTAGCACATTGTACTCATTTCTTCTTACGGAGATGTAGCCCATGCACGTATCTAGAAAGCGTAACCTTCTGTGTAGATGCAATGAGGGCTAGAAATCTAGGTCGTGCGAAAGGGCATTAGATACCTGTCCGTATGTTATGATAGTCATGTGTTGCTGCACGCGATTTGTCATGTAAATATGATAGATTTAGATGCCGATTAAAAAATGAAAGCTGTGATACAAACCTACAATCTGCTGTGTAATTTGTACCCGATAGCTAAAACTCTCCAAGACTTGAAGAAAATTGGAAATTTGAAGCCTGGTAGAGTACTGTACAGTAAGTGCATGAACAACTACAAGCAAACAAACAACAGAACCTATGGAATGGCAGTGCAGACCCCTTTGCGAAGGCATAGTCCTGTTACGTAGTTAATAGTGCCTTAGACCGTTTAACTGCCTGTGGGTCCATCCTCGTACTCATCTCGCGGTATGGGATTCTCTTCCATCTCCCCGTCACTTGGTCCATTCACAAAGATCGCACAGAAGCAAAAAGTTGAAACGGAATCCATCTCGAGGTTGTCGTTCACTCCCGCCCCATCCGATCTCCTCGAGCCAATCTCCACAGGCGAGGCCTGAATCCTACCTATCCAAGTTGGACGCAGTATCTCGCGTTGTAGAGTTTTGGTATGATTCTCAGAAACCGAGATGATTGGACTGTCATCAGACTGAAGGCAACCTTAACGAATCAACCCATTAATTCGAGCGGGCCGACGAGCAACACGGTTCGTTAGTCAAGCGACAAACTCGCTCGAGTGACATCATTGACAATGAGAATGTTTCAAGATTGTCTTCGAGGAAGGAAGCTCAGGAATGATTCACAGAACCACTTCCAGTCGCAGCCTTGGACCAGCCGCGCAAACAATGGAGCGCGTACCAGTCCGGAATTCGGGGGAAGTCTTTCAAACACAGGACCGTTAATCATGCCCAAATTCCAAGACTCATTCGAATTTGAATCTAGCAGCCGGAAATGTTGATGAATCCGGCATCTCCGGACTGCGAAGCTTGGAGACGACATTCCATCGCGTGCTGGTTAGAAACTGAAACGGATGGAAGTGTCGACTCCAAAAGCTCCGGTTCATCTTTCACGACCACACTTTGAACAAACAATGAACATGTGGACGTTAGAGCCGGTGGCTGAGAAAACCTGGAGCTTGGACATGTCCCGCATTCCTTGCAAATTTCGGGGTTAGGTGAGCTTTTGAAGGGAGGAGGAAAAAGAAAAGAAGTTGGCCGAGTCGTCTGTTCCGCAGTGCGCTCCAATTTGCTTCCTCGTCTCGCCCACAGGAAATTAGCGGAAAAATCTGCTCAAGTTCCTGCATTAAAGGCCAAGGAAGCGAATCCGGCGCCCTTGGGAGTCTGGACTCTCTCATCCCGTATCGTTACCTGCATGTAACAGTATGATGGAGCTGTTTTGAAATTCTCACCACTTGCAACGATTTATTCTTGAGAACGACATGCGGATTGAGATGCATGCTGACACCAGCATCGTCACCAAGTCTGCATTCTTAAATCATCACGGAGACGGCGCCTTCTGGGACCAGGAACCGATTTATCTTCTCGTCGACAATTGAAGCTTATAACTCATTCTGTAGAATCAAACACAGATCAATTTAAGAACGCTGCCTCAAGGTTAGAGAAACCTGTTCATTAGAGTGATGTCAACGTTCACCGACCACTTGTTGAATAAGAACTCAGGCTGAATAAGAATCTGTGTGCGGTGTTCATACTGTACATTTTCACGTCTGCATGAAAGTTTGACTTCCAGTTTTGATCCACATTTCTAATTGTCCAAACAAGGAAGGGATCTTATTTCGCTAGCGTCATCTACTTGTCATTGGGCGTGATATTTACAATCAGGCTTTAGTATAATAACAATTCTTTTCTCTGTATATCACAGTCTTTGACTGAAGTACTCAGAGTCTCACGTGCAGGTAATATCCTCGTTCGGTGGATTTCAACTCATTCGTTAAGCACTGGATACCGTTGAAAACTCAAACAGTAAGCTAAAGGGCAAGTTAATGGTGAGCTTGGGTTTGCACCCAAGCATGTCTCGTTCTGAATAACAGCGCTGCGGTTGAGAAAGCTGCTGGAGGCAAGGCAAGGTCACGAGTGACAAAACTCTCGAATGACTTGAACATTTGACAGCTTTGGTCCCAGAAGAGTCAAACTGAATAAGTACCCACAGATGAAGCGAAGTGTGATAAGTCGATTCTCGTGATAAGATCCTTCGTTGTCTTCAATCCGAGGACCCGGACTACTTCCTTCCATCACAGTGAAAGTTGCAATATACGACCATAACTTGACATACTAAAACACAGCTATTGGTGTAAGATTCATTAGCGAAATCGAGGTTCCGGGTGATAGAGGGAGTCAACCAACTGTTCCTGGAATGAAAATGTCACTCCCATGATCTGCCTATCTCTCCACGAGTTTTGGGACACATCTGGTCAACTGTTAATCTGAATCCAGGCTTTGGCTTAGACTCAGACAGAACACACAAAGGAACATCTCGTGCCAGCAGCAAGAGCAGCCTGGTCCCATGTCCCCAAATGATGGGCCTGAATTACGACGTCACCTCAATAATGTCTCCTCTCATATTACTACTGTGTCTCGCTCCAGCAAGTGCATTATGTTTTTCAGAGCTGTGCATGCATCTCTTCACTTCTCATCCGATTCGCTCTCATTCCGACTTAGATGAGCTGCTGTTGCGATCAGTCAACACTTTTGACCGCAGGCATTATATTCATCATCCCACTCGAGAAACATATAAGATGATATTTGATAGATACAATATCAGATATCGCCAACTCCTCATGTAACAAGCAAGCAACTAACTCAGAATCTGCTGATGTACTCAGCAACAGAGGAACGAGTGAATGATTTTTCACGTCCGCGGAAAACACGAAGGGCCCATAGGACACAAAGAACTTGAAGGCTGAACAGAGGCTGACATAAAAGAGCATCAGCAATGCAGACACCTCAGATCAGAAGAAAGGATGGGACTCTCAGGAGTTATGATCCAAGTGAGCAAGTGTCAACAGGGCCGTCAATATTTTTCTTCTGTTTCAGTTCTGAAAGTCCTCAACTGAATTTTGGACATGGATTTGTGTTAAATTCCACGACAAGGTGGTGGAACCGTGTAAGTAAGTACATGGTCAAGTCTCGAACGACTTGTTGTACTGAAGAGAGATTTGAGAACCAATGATTGAAGCCTCCTGAGCGACCTCATAAAGGGAATCATAAATGCGAGCACCCTGAGTTTCACACACAGTTTGGACAAATAATAGGTAAACGGTATGTACATCATGGATACAAATCATGGAGAAAATAGGAGAGGCAACACAACGCAGCCTCATACATGACGACAACTATGTACGGTACGCGGTCATCCATCCTCTACGATGTTCAGGGAAGAGAATGAGGGACCGAGTGGGAGCATATGAAAGCACCCAGAGAGGTAGAACAATAAATAAGGGGTGAACGCTTCACTCCTGAAGTCCTCGCATTCATATCTTCTTCAGATATCCAATGTTTCCTCAAAAAAGAATGATTACGCTCTTTCCAGCTTTACAAGCTTGAATGATCATTCGGCAACGGAGAATTTGATCAAAGTAAAGTACTCTTCTTTCTTTCATAAGTTAGAATTATCAAAGCTTAGTCGGGAACCCTACTTCCATCTGCTTCCTGTTATATGAACAGAATCCACGTCTACTCCTTCGAAGGATTGTACCATACACGCAAAATGATTTAGTTACTTCTCACAGTAATCAGAATCCAATATTTTCGTTCCAAATCCCAGATGCAAACTAAAGTACTTCTCCGTACTAATTATCATTCACGTGGACCCACAATAATTTAGAATATTGTTGAAAGCAAAGATGTCAACTAACACGGATGAAGTCCGAGGAACAGATATTAAACCTCTAACAAAATTTGCATCTATTAAATGTAAAACAATTAACGCATTCCTGTTTTGTTCTGTTTCGTTGAATGCAATTTGGTTATATTACACGTACTCCAGCATTGCCGCGACAGAGAGGTCATTTTACCAATTCCACATCATTAATTATGTTCTACACCACTATAAGCTTAATATAGTTACAATGTTTCGGAGAGTAGGAAATATGTAATGTACATTAGTTCATATTCGAGCCATTGTTATTAGAGTAAATTACTCGACGGGACCCTTGGAAACTCAATAGTCTTGAAGCCACCCAAGAGATTTCATGATACCCGATGGGACCGTTCGACGGCCACCATAAGCCATGTTCTTATAACCTAATGATCTGCTGTATAGAGTGGGGAGTGTCCGCCATTGTCAGCCCAGAGTATTTTGGCGACTCGTTCCCAGCCATATCTAAGAAAATTACGGGCACCATGAGTCTGAATTACGATTGATATGGTCTTGTCGTGATTTCATGTTCTACTCGAAATAACCCCAAATAGTATTGGAATATCACTAACAGTAGTTCTCTAGGGTAAAATGAAACCTGTTGGGTCCATCAAGTGTTTTGAGTTTCCACTGGAACCATCAAGTAATATAATCATTTTTATTAGATACAAACTAATAAAAATTAACTTCGAATCAAATAAAGTCACAAGTTGTGAATTAAGGACGTTTGTATACCATAGTAAGCTTAAAACTTGAGCGATGGATTTTATACACCAAATCAATCTCCGAAGGGAAGTTCAAAATGTTCAATCACTGCACATTCACCGGAGTTAATCACTTGCATGTTGATGTGGAATGGTCAACTCGACAGAGTTGGTGGCCTTCCATACATGACGCTTCCAGCTCAACTTATTATGCACGTTCAGATGAAAAGAATAGTGTGGATAAATAGTGCCGGCCAGCACAGACATGAACCAATTTGAGAGAGAAATACAGATAATGGCAATTTGTCACCCACCTAACATGTTCGATAGTTGGAGATGAAATTTAAGATCGATGCGTCACCTTGCTCATATATCTGAGTGACAACTCACCCACCATCGATCGATTCAACTCCACACCCGATTAGTTTGACGCTCTCTTACTTCATTCCCATGGAATCACTACAATCACCAAGATCAAGATGACAACATCAACATCTGCCACTTGCATCCAGACAATTCTACCGTAAAGGACTGACTAAATGCTGGAGTAGGGAATTTGCATTCTCTCTCACGTCCTGGCCCCTCAATAGTTTTAGTTTTTTAAAGTCACCAAGTGATATAGCAGAAAGTATGTGAGTACCCCATCAAGTCATACAGCGATGAAACCAACGCGAAACATGGGGCTAGGCCCCAATCACATCCTGGCCTCTCGATCGATTTGCCACATGCACACGACCCTAACGAAGAAAGCTCCAGTCTTCTTTGAATAGGTCTAAAAGATGTCTCCATGACCTGACGAGTCAGATTAAACTGTAGTGGTGGATGAGCGTGGGTCAGTTGTTCCGTGACTGAGTCAGATCAGATGGATTGCAATGCGTGAACATCCTTGAGGTCATGTGATGCACTGCAGTTTGTAACATCCATAAGAAGCACAAGAGTCAAGGACTTGCAAACTGCGTAACACAATACAGTGTTGTCAACATTACGTGGTGCATTGACACGTTGGACGACGTTTGTTCCATAGATATTCCATGTTTGTGAATTGCATGCTTATCCTTGCCTACAGTACTTTCAAAAACAAATCAGGAGTTTGGAACGTCTTGTCTACGGAAGAAACTTCCTCCTTAGTCCATTATTGGAAATATGCTTTCGGATGTCCAGACTCTTCCTTTCGGGTTAATTCCATTCATGACATCTAATGAAGAACAATCACGTTCGCTGAAATTCTAAGAGCGGTAGGATGGGCTGTTTTGGCAGGTTACAGCGAGGCCCATTTTTTCTTACACATGCAAGATTATCGGAGGCTCGGGTAAATCGACATTGAGATTAGACACCCCCAGTTTTTATATTTTAGGCATGTTATAATGCAATATATCTTTTATTTTTACTATAGTGGTTCTAACTCCAAATTACAACATTTTCTTTCATCCTGATGGAGCATTCCTACTCTTATCGCTTCAATTCTTGGTTCCGCAAATCTGAAATAGACCAATGATATTTATTTTCATAATTGTCTCCAAACAACCGCAGATTTATTAATCTCAGTACAAACTGGATCGAGTCCCTAATCTTATTTGAAACCAGGATAGTTTGAATGCAGTATGCCAACATCTAAAATGTATAAATGTCTACGAAAGTATCCACACCATTTCCTAGTATGATGATCTACCATATGTTTTTGTTTACTGAAAATCTAGAAAAGACATCGCATTTTCTTATCACATACATAACTATGTTACCTGTGACAAATAAAATAAGAGTTTTCTTCCCTTAAACTTCAAAGTCTTGCTTACGACTGTTTCAAGTCAAAGTTATAAGTTCAAGTGAGTCATTTTGTGTTGAATATGATTATTGAAAATCAAACTACAAAATCATATGTTGCAAAAAAAATTTAAACATAATCTGGACATATGTAAATAACTATGAGAAACTGTACAAAATCTTGATGTTCAATACAAAATCACAAAGTGACGTGTGTAAAAAAAAATTTCATTCCAATGAAAATTTTATAATTACATAAGATACTAATTTTCATTTTTTGGAGGGAAAAGCAATCACAATTATCAAAGACATATTATGAAATATTGATATATTCTTATATCTATCTTGAAAATATACATTTCATAGTTTTATTGATGTTAAAATGAAACAAGTCCATCCACTTCAATTTTATAATATTAACACTTGTAATATAATAAATTTCAATTGATTATAAAATTTGTAGAAATAACGATTTATTTTGTATCCAAATATATAATAATCCCATCCACATAGAATTTAATGTTGGAAAAGATTAAAATTATAAGTATTTTATATTTCTATTTGATGTTACAATTTTAATTAAAATTTTTATAATTGAATTATGTTTCTAAAAATATATTCTGAATATCAATAGTTTTAAAATATTAAAAATTTTATACTTGGCACATATATCATTTATTTCAAACGAGTAAAAAATAATCTATTCACACACATCTTTCATCTTCAATTCTAAATACATAAAAAAAAATTGTAATCTCTTGTGAAAATATGTATATGTATAACTCCTCTTGGGCTAAATACATTTGATATTTTAAGTCTTAAACGGTTGGTATCCAAAGTGATCAATTTTTCTTATTCTTTACTTTTTAATTTTACTATTTATCTTTGATTTTCTGTTTATTTTTTAAAAAAATATTCTCATTTAATTGACATATCTAAATTTGAGTGATATATTAAAACTTTTCTGTTTCAGTAGAGTGATTTGAACGAGGAGTTTCTTTTTTCAAAAAAATTTCAATGAATCTATGAGGTCGTAAACAAACATAAAGCCAGGTGATTTTGATTGAAATATAATAGAGTATAATATATTATTTAAATAAATAAATAAATAAATATTGTCATTATTTGTTGATCATATATGATTGTCCTTATCTGGTGTACTCATGTTTTCTTCTATAAATCAAATTGAATAGGAAGTTTTTATTTCTCTGATAATGCAAGAGAATAACTTCATTTTGTTTTCTTCTAAATAATTTATTTAATAAAATTATATCGTGTGAAGTAATATATTCATTTCAAATTAATTCAGGACAATCTTACTGAAATGTATCCCTCGCATACACTTCAATGACTTGATATTCAATCTTTGTTATAAAAAAACAGACAACTAACTGTGATTGTTGATTAAGGCGCATCGCCCATTGAAACCTTGTAGTTTTCAATGTCGCGTCTACAAAAGTCCAAAATCTCGTACGTATAACACAAACTTTAAGTCGTAAAAGATTCAATTTCTTCAATGCATGGCATGTCATTAACCTTCACCAGGTAAATCAAAAGTGTTGTAGAAAGACATAAATAGATAAGATGAGGTTTTATCTTCGATACCTAATGCGAGGTCGAAACCGATGCTGAAGTGGGAAGAAATATTAGGGAATGACGCACGATGAGTTCCCTTTATTCCATAAACAGAGACCTCGAATCGGAAAACGGATCGAAATAATAAAGCAAAAGAGGATAGCAGCAATCATGTGTTGAAGTGATCTTGTAGCTTGAGAAATCCGACACATTGCTTGTGGAACCAAAAGATTATGTGGAACGTGTCAATATCGAAGTCCTCAGAAACACTCTTGTGGGGACAGCATCGAGCGATTCGATGGGCAGGATTTCGCCCTCAACCAGTTCCCAAACACCCGAAGAAGTCAAGCTGACATCTCTTGTCATGTCATCCAATTATAGAAGCTGCAGTCCTCGGGTTGTGTGTTCCACTCTATCTATCAATCATCTTGAAAGTGCACTCGCACAATTGCTCGGCCTTTTGAACTACACATCGCCTTTCCGAGTTTACTTCAGACCTTTCATGGAGGCCCAAAGTTAGAAATCGAACACACGCAAAGCTCCCATGTGATCGATCGAGAGATCAATGGGGATACAACTGGCCACTACGCAGCGCAGATGGAGGGATCTATAAATTAAACTTCTGATGTGGAAGCCCGCACACTCCCTTCATAAGAAATGCCCGGACCAGGCGGAAATAGCACACGCAGTCGTACAGACAGTACACCTTTATACATACCCTGGACTCTGGATCATGCTCAATCAAGTTTTCTTGTTCAAATTTGTCTCGCGAAGAGGCTTGCCAGAAGAGGGTGGAAAGCTGTTTCCCTGAAGATGCGGGCAGTGGCATACGAGTGTCCTCCGAGATTCTTCTCCACTCTCCATACTTTCTTTCCATGTGTAGAAAGACGGTCTTGACGGCAAGAAAAGTACGCTTCGAAAGATGTGCAAATATCATCCGAAGTCCTGCACATCCAATAAAAGGTTGTGCTTGAACTGGACACTTTCTCTGTAAAGTAGGTTTCTTGGACTGACTTCCATCACCAGTGGCATCAGCGATTCTTCAACCTCGTGCCCAATCAGCATGACAACAGACGCATGTGAGGAAGACGAGTTCATCCTCGTCGCCGTCACTTCCGAAAAGTTATGTGGTGGGATGAGAGTAACCCCAGCGAATAAGATACATTGCACAAACTTCTGCTCGTACTAATGCACATTTCACATTCCATGTAATCTATCAAATTTGATCATTAGCGTTGTCACATTAATAGTGGAGAGAACTTGGAAACTTGCAACGGTTGTACACTGATCTAATTCTGAAGGTCCCGACTAAGAAGAAGTGGGGACCACATTTCTTCGGAATACAATCACTTCTAACCTGATGAGGATTTGTTCATTTACACGAACATAGTAACTAGAGTTTCTTCTATAATGTGGTCAAAGCTGTATAAGAACTGCAGTTATACGAATCTAGTTGGTGGGAGAATGTACTTCATTTCAAATCCTCTGAATCACTTCACATATTTATGAGAAAAGATTCATATATATGATATACATTTTGATCAGGGGCGGAACTGAGTAATTGCCCCAGTATTTCATCTGAAAAGTTTTAAATTAAAGTATTTTTTTCTTAAAGATACTGCGGAATACTGAAACCGTTCACCGGAGTTCATTGCCGCTACTTGCAGCAGAACAGATAAGTTTTGATTGTCAGTGTCAGAGGTGACTAAGACGACACGAGGCTCGTCTTCATCAAAATATAATTTTGTTCAAAATGCGTCAGACACTGTGCTACGTTTTATTTTAAAAAGGATTGTGGACATTATTTAGCATTAGACAATTTGACATCGCAAAGGGAATGTTTGGCACAGAAGGCAAACTTTGCTTCACGTTTGGAGTACATACAGACCCGTTCTGACATGACTTTTCCAAAAAGTGAGTGGTACTTTCGTGGATCATGTCCTCGCCTCTGCTGTGCACTTCCATATTCTTCAATTTCCAAGCACTCCTGTGTCAACTTATGAAAATCTGTTGCTCTCCTCACATGTCACCCATTGATATCAAGGGTGATACGATGTAAATATGAAAAGTGCATCCATATGCTGGTATCAATATTTGTATTCATACATTCTAAATTGAAGCAAAAAAGATGAGACGCATTATACAGAGGTTTTTAACGAACATAATGTGACAGAATCACTAAGGCACAGCATACGTGCGGGAAAGCAGAATCATTACACCTCTGCCAGCATCCATTATTTCCTCGTCAGACCACTAACGTAGATTGGAAATGGGCCAAATGGGCCAGCAGAGTAGTGGCTATGTTGACGCAAAACCAGCAAAACCAGCAAAACAAGTATCATTAGACTCCTTGGAGGCGATAGAAAGGGCTTTGTACAAGGTTTCACTCATTTAAGGATCAGGAATATGTACAACCAGATAATAATTAACGATGAACATGATATAAGCACGATGACTAGTGATTCCACACCGCACTTGGAGACTGCAGCTAATGATAGAGTTCCTACTCAGCGGACCTCTGACACGATGTTAAAAAGATGAAATCGTGTCAGAAGCATGGAACGGAACAACTCTGACTGCAAATACTCGTACTCCGAAGGAATCCGACAATCCTCACATTTCAGTGCTTGGTTTCAACATTACATAAAAATCATGTGTTACGAGACCTACTAAAGCCTTCTGAAGTATGATTGCTCTTAAATCGTTACTCTATACCAGCATGCTATGCTGGGCTGAAGGTGCACCAAGCACCTGAAACATGGTAAGCTCCATGGCTATTTAAGGTATCTCCCTTGGCTACACTGCCTTGAGTAAGTATCAAAATTATTTTGAATATCCAACAAGTCGAGCCTTCTTTCTACTGTGCAATGTTAGACCTGAAAGGATTTATGGAAAGTTGTGGCTACATTCTATCAAAATAAGGAAACTGTCATTGCAATTTGAGATGTCATTCTACATATTTGGAACCCTAATATCTCACTTCGATAATAAGTCAACTGGATCCAAAAGAGTAGTCAAGGTAAGTTGTTCACATAGTCCATAGTACTCACTTTTTAGACCTGTAAATGGTGCGCCTCCAGTAGGCTTAAATTTCAAAAGGGCCTTAGGGATCAGATCAGCCTCTTCCAAGGTCAAGCATTGTCCACCAGCTTCCAAAAACCGAGGAATCACTCTATGCTTAGTCGCTGCAGGTAAGACGAGATCGAAAGTCTCATGACTATCATTCAAGGTAGATGCCACAAACTGCACAAGTAAGATACCGTCAGAGATAATAGAATGAGAACTAATAATAGTAAATTTTTCATTTGTCTACCAGGCTAACCTGAATTTTTAGTGCAAAGAAAGGACAAGAAAACAAAAACTCATTTGTTCATAATTAGATTACAATCGACAAAGTGAGGACTACAACAGCTGAAAACCTAGACCAACTTCATACAAACCAAACAAGAAGAACCGTAGGACAGTCTGAAAGGAAACCTTGATTCCCATAATGTTCATCAATCACACATGCTAGAGATACGGTTCTTAAGACTTTCATAAAGGAAAGCAACACGTATGGATTCCGTGAACTTTGAATGAATTATGCACTTAAAATTCTATGGCGTTCGATATTCTAAGCGGTGAATAAAACTTGTCCTCCAGACATAAAAATTTGTACATAAAACGACAAGGTTATATAGAAAACAGGATTAGTCCACTGGCGTTCAAAGCAGTGACAGATGAAAAAGAAGCAACCATTAGAAAGCTCACAAGATCGTATGCTTTCATAGCCATGTACATATTATCTCGAAGGAGTTACAAATCCACTGCACACATGAACCATAGGTTTATAACGACCCATCCATATCGTAACATGATTGAGCAAGAGATGAAAGGAATCCCATGAGATTCAAAACAATAGTTGCCTACTACACATCCAATATTTAACAGAAAACATTTCAATAATAATATACATGAAGGGATGACATTGGCAACATTTGGTATGCATGACCACATCTAACAAGTACCAAGTACTGACATAAGATAAGGAGACCAGTAAAAAAATTATGAGGTGTGATTTTCAACAAACTTTTTCAGGTGACTTCAACTTTGAATCCCCCATGGACACTGTGACGACGCAATAAAACTACCAAAAAAAACGAACGTGTAGTGTACGAAACGAATTGAATACTCATTTTACTTAAGTTCGTTGACATGAACTAAACAAGACTAAAGGATCAACCCCCAAAAAACTAGCTCTTTTCCGTTGATAGGATGATAAGAAAATTGGAGATGCATCCAAAGTTGCAACACTTGAGGGTTCTTATGGCACGTAATCTGAGAGAGTATTGAACCACAATCCCAATCTCCTTCTCTATAGTGATCTCCTTTATCTTGATCCTCTTGCAGGCGATTAAAGGATATGTAAGGCTTCATCACATAAGGTTACTGCTTCTTGTAACCAACTTGCTTTGAACATCACCAAGGATGATTGGTCAACCTAGTACGCAACACTCGAGTGCATTCAGGGCCAACCTTTCGTTTGGTTCTTCAGGAGAGACCTAAATGTGACGGCGTACAGACCTGAATGTAGCTTCCTCCTAAGAACTCTTTTATCGTCAATGTCCTCACTGCTTGGAGGAGTTTTCCCATCATTGCGGCATCTGCTTCCACAGAGTCGAAGGAGCTCATGAAGTCTTCTCAGAGTTTGTCTGCTCCACAGTCCGATGTTCGATCCACACGTTCTTTGAAATTCTTTCAAACAACTCTTGTGGATGGCGTAAAATTCCATGCTAGATACATGGAATCATTAACCAGAAGGACAAAAGTCTGACATCACGTATCTTCAGGGCATTTAAAGTCGCTATATTCTATTTTCAGCAAAAGTAGCGGAAAAAAAATGAAAATCCGGAGGAATATCAAGTGTTATCTGCAGAAGAATGTTGTCCATCACGGAGGCTAGAATATTCATGTCAAACGTTAAAGGCATAGGTAACGTCCGTACTGTGTCTAATGGAAGTAATCCACGAAGAACTGAAAAATATTATTTTTTTCACGGACCACTTGGTCGTAAGTAAACTACTGCTGCAAAATTTCTGATATTGCAACGTTGAAAGGATGAAACTCCAGTCAAGAGTCAGAACCGAGAGGGCTCCTTAACATACAGGCTAAAATTTCAAAGAGATAATAACACGACTTCCATATCATATATACAAAACTTTTGGTCTCAATATGTTTTTAGTCACTGTCATCACTTGAAGTAGTCTAGAGAATACAACAATAGCAGATTCTACGTGTCTGTCTTCACATAAGAGATTCTTTGCATTGAATACCAATGGTAGATAATCCCTTTTCTGTTAAAGCACATTAAAGTTATTAAAAAGAAAGTATAAGATGATCTTAGATGCTAGTCCAAGACCTCGAATTCAACAAGTAGTTACTTTAAACCATGAACTTGAGAACCCCTTGTATGTGGCGTGAATTCAGAACAGACAAAAGCCACATACAAACAAGTTCCATAAAGAATACTGTTTTGTAGTGCCGCTTAGATTCCTTCCTACTCATACTCTTTTCTACGACGTTTAAATGTGCTCTTCTCTTTTAAGATAGATACAAAGTATAAAACGAGGGTTACCCATAACAAGTCCAGAAAAATCATGGCTGTAAAGAAGAATATAAAAGTAGATGCAAATTACAAATATACTTAAGACCATGTCAGGACACGAACAAAATGCTGGTTTGAAAGTCAATAGAGCAATTAGAACATGCAAGTAAGGAGAATAATTGACTACTTTTGGTGTCTAGACAAGTGTATGTGGGAATGTGAATTATTGTTCTCAGATTCTATTGTAGATCCCATGTTCAGTTCTCTTCAAGAATTCAGACATTGACACTTTACGTGAGAGCTGAGCTCATCTGTCAAGATCAACACGAACCATCTTTGACTTACTAGTGCAAAGCTTACCTCGTATAGAGCTGTCGTCGACTCCTTGGCCCCAAAGTATCCTTGCAGAATTAGACCATCTGGAAGCTGGACTCGCAACACTGTGGCCTTATATCTTCGCCTGACCGCAGCTGCCTTCTTCTCTCTTAAAGATTTGGGGATCAATAATTGCGAATCTTCTATCTTCTTCTTGCGTGCTTGTGCCTCCAATTTCACTTCAGCTGCGGTTAGCTCATAAAACGAACCTGGCAGCTCAAATCTTTCTTCAAGACGATCCTTCGGGGCGTAGAAAATCTTCAGCTGTTACCACGAATCCGTGAATTTAAGCATGGAAGCAACTAAACAACTAACTTCAAAGAAGGATTCACATATTTTATCGTCACTAGAATATAATCAGAAGATTAATCCGACAAACCCTCAACTTAAAAGGCAGCGTTTCATACAATAACAATAACTTGACAGTCCATACCATAGTTCATAAAAAACGTCAATGCACTTCTAACATTCTAAAAAACATATCAGCTCCAATGTTTAGATTTCAGACCCAATTGGATCACGTGAAAGGTGCTACTCCATTGTTTGAAGTTAAAAGATAAAAACATCCTTGATAACATCTGAACAGACGCCTTGGATTTCAAAAACTTCCTAATCTCTTCGTTTCAAGCTCTAACTGGGTTTGAATTTACATTCGGTAATCTTAACATCTATCGTGATCAAAGGGTGTTGATAGAAAACAGAGAGTCAGTCTTTGACCCCAACTGGAAACACGGGTGGAAACATTTGGTGAATGCAATTTGTTCACCCTGAATTGAGAACTCTAATTTACATGAGAAAATATACAACTGCTCAATATTACTTCGATGAAGACTGATAGATATATATAAATTTGTCATGAGAAGGTTTCTCGTGGTGAACTCAGCTCACCTGACGATCAACTTTTACAGGAACAGGTCCAGCTGCACTGGAAGGAGCGGAAGTTGTGTTTGCAGTTTGATGTGAAACCAAGTAATCAATTGTGGTTTCAATTCTCAGCTTCTGCTCGTCACTAGGGACACCCATAACCAGCATACTTTCCGATCCTCGTCCAACCAACGAGAATCCCACGGCCAGGAAAACTCTAAGCCCGTCCATTGAAGAACCTAGCGCTTCCTTAATTTTCTGGTTCTCTAGACGTATCTTCCGAAATTTGTCCGACGACGGATCAGCCAGAATATTCCGCAACAACCGAAGGATCACGTCAATGGTACCGGCTGGCCGGTCTTGTGACAGAAAAGTGGCCACTGCCTCATCCAAATCCAGGTCGAGATTCCCGTCCTGCTCCCTCTCAAATGCTCCTACTCGTCTGTCAATGTCTTCCCCTCCCACAGTCAGCCCTGAGAAGTCCACACTTTTTGATACTCCTGTACAATCGTCAATATGAGCTGAAACTTCCGCTTCCGAGTTCCAAAACTTCAGACAAACGGGGCACTGCACTTTGCCCACTGGATGGGGAACATTCTGTCCAGCAAAGCCTTGCATGGATGATGACGAGGTTCCCCTTGAAGATAAAATAGGACTGTAAGGATCGAAGTGCGATCCTGTAAGAAGATCTGGCATTGAATTGTGCGTCGTCAATCGAGGTTCTTCGTTGTTGATCACCTGCACAGTACCCCTCGACTCTCTAGTATCCACTTTGATACTATTGTCAAGAGGAGACTTTACAGAAGCAGCTGCAGAAGCCAGGGTGTTCACTGATTCCATAACATGGCCATGACCTGGAGATTGAACTCTGTGCATTTGAGCCGAATTCTGTGAAGCTGGTCCACAACGTTCAGCAGGTACTTGAGCAGAGGGGGCAATTCCTCGCTCACGTTCCCATTTCTCCTGCTGCAATTTCCTCCAATCAACCTGCTGGGCTTTCTGGTGACCACCACACGCTGATCCAGGTCGGCTGTTGCAGGAGCTTCCTCTCCCAATTGAGTTGGAAGGAGCAGCGACTGGATCGGGGATAGAACGAGACTGCGTAGGGCCTCCCAGCGTGTGTCCTTGACCCTTGAAGGTGGGGGTACTTCGGGAAAATCCGAAAGGACTACTAAACTTCTTGAGCAGATCTTTACCTTTTGTTTTCATTTCGTCCACCTTCTCCTTTAACTTTTCATCCATGTTTGAATGCTTCGAAATGCCTCGAAGAGCTACTACCTGCAGACTCTCTCTCTCTCTAGAGGGGGGAAAAATGTCAAGACTGCAGCAAAACTCTAATGATCACTGAAACTGGTCTACGGACACACTTTGCCCCCAAGAACACCAATCAAAAAGATGGACCTCACTCGGCGCAGCAAGAGCATCACTGACAGCGTTGGCCCATATCAGTTGCTCACCTCAGCTCTAACTTTCTGTACAATCCCTCAGCGGCAACAAACGCGAATCAACAGCCCTCCGACTCCGTCGGAACTACGACTACGCCCAGCTGAGAGCGAAACACTCCTCCAGAATAACAATCGACGGCTCATCGACTGACTGACTGACTGACCAACTGATTGCTAGCAATCAGCAGTGCAGTAAAGAAGGCCACTCCCCTCGGACCTCGCACCTCGCACCTCGCACCCCACCCGACGTCGCAGTCTCTCACTCTGCGTGTGAGCGAGAGTGTGAGTGTGCGGGGGTGTCAGCCTGCGGAAGACCGGGTACGAACAAACCAACAAAGAAAGAATCCAATCTCTCGCCCCGGCACACTCAACAACACCACCCCTCGACTGATTGCCCACCTCCTCCTCCCTCACCTTCCCTGAATTGCCATCTACGCGCTGCTTGCGCTCCTTAGAATCATCCCCTTTGAGCCCACTCTCTTCCTTCCAATCCACTCCACCAAAAAGAGACAAATCAGAAAAACAAAATAACTCCTCGCTTTCAAATTTCAACTCCCACTCCGTCGCGCACTCCTTTTTTTCTCCTCCCCTTCCCGTGCCTTTCCTTTCCTTTCCTTTCCTCGCCTTTCCCCTCCCCTCCCCCTTCCCTTCCCTCTCTTCTCTCTCTCAATCCCGTTCTACCCCTTCCACTTCCCCCACACCAACACCAACGTCTACACGAGCCGAGCGACCAATCAAAGCACGAAGGCTGCTTGACCGGCAGTCGGTCCTTCGCACCCCACAGGAAGCAGAAGGCGAACAGCAGCCTCCGCCTCGCCTCTCTTGGGCCCCTGTCGCTTGGCACCGAAGGCAAGGCCAGGCAACGGGTGCAAAAGAAAGCAAGCGCGAAAGAGAAAGCGAAAGGAAGAGTTCTGCTGCGCTGCTACGGAAAAAGTCTACCCCATACTTTCGTCGTTACCACTTGGGCAAGAAACGCGTAATCGTAATCGAAGAGCGTCCTCAAATGTCCACCTCCTCCTCCTCCTCCTCCTTCAGCGATCAGCGCTGACACTCCGTAGGCTTCGAACATTCCCACCCACCGGCCAGCTCCACACGCTCAGCCCCGGACCTCTCCCCGACCTCCGTGGCGCCTTGACATTGAAACTGCCAAATTCCGAAGCCAGGACCGGCCTAGTGGCCTGGCCCCGAGCCAGCGACCGACCGACCTCGGAAGACCTGACCCGGCCTCGATCCCGCAGCCTCGGACGGACGGATGGATCGGACCGAGGACAGACAGACAGGCCGACGCTGTTCCCTGTTGCGAACTTTATTCTATTCGTTATTTGGCATCGAAGAAAGAAGCTCTTGTTGTTGCTGTAAAGACTCTCTCGCTCCCCCTCTCGCTCACTTCTCTTTTTTTAACCGCCGCGAAAGGCCCCGCGAGAGTATGTGTACTTACTGCACCTATCTGCATCTATCTTCTGATGCCGGGGGAGGAGGTTTCTTGGGGCTGAATTTATGGGTGCCACGTGTGCGAGCGCCTTTCCCGACGTGAAGCCATCTTGAAAGTACAGTGGGAATATTTGTGCGGGTGCTGCCATCACTTTGTATTGGACCATATACTCTTTGAATTGGACTGCATGAGGGCGAGTTTCCTTCAGGCTGAGTTTTGCTTTGAATTCGACTCTATGCGCTCTGTATTGGACCGAATGAAGGCGAGCTTTCTTCAGGATGAGTTTTGCTCCTCGTCACGTGTTGTAATTTGTTTGCTGCAGGTTTTGTTCGAACCCGCCTCCAATCGCATCCCTCGCTCTTGTCTGCATTCAGTCTTCTCCTCTGACTTTTCCCCCATCTCTCCCTTCCCTTTCGCGTGACAATTTCTTATATTTCCCGAATTTCGCAATCCCTTTCTGCTGCCTCGTGTTTTCTATATTTCCTCATTGTACATTTACGCCTTTTCTCACTCCACTGCAATAGTTGCATATTGTAAGCCACAATGTCTCGGAAGGTCCTTCCGGATCTATTCTATGAATACGCGTATAACCCACGGATTTGAGACTTCGGTATTTGTATGTAGGTTACCCTCTGACCATGAACGTGATGTTTTCTCCGAAAGTCCTTTCAAGAAATTAGTTATCAAATGATAACATTGAATATGGGACCATGTTGGAATCACTTTTAACAAGCAACCGCGGCCGGAACCTTCACTGAAGTCAGTAAGTTTGTTTTCTAGCTCAATCAAGTGTTCGTTACTGTCTGAATATTATCTCATTATTTATTCTTACTTCATCCAGGTGTTATGTTCTATATGGGAAATCATTTAATATGAGAATAATCGAGAGTTACATGTGGGGAAGAAGAAATTGCATGTCTGAGAACAGTATCAAAACCTTGATGTGTGAAAATACAGATGAAATGGGTGATGAGTACAATAAATTCCCCAAAGCTTCACTGGTCTATCTTTCCAGCGCACAAGTCTGAAAGAAATGTATAGGGATTCAGAGTCTATATTACTTTTTTCGGACCCCCTGGCGGTAGCTTTTACCGTGCATGTACTTCAGATGGAACGAGTTTGGTAATAACAAACTGTCTTACTAACGTGAATAGCACAGAGTAGTTAGTTATCGTCCTACACGATTGCTTCAGCTCCAATCTTCCATGGTTGGCGTGGACTTTTGTCACATTGTAATCCCGCGGTCTTCGGCTACGAAACTGGGCTGCAATGTGGCTCCAGGAATCGATTTATAAATTTAAGTCTGATGTAGCTTTCTTGACGCTGACTTAAGAAGATGAAGGTCTCATATTCGCATAAAATGAGGGTAATCAGGAGTAAGTCAGAATATAAAGTTTCACAGTAACGTTTCATAAAGCGGGCGCCTTTGCTTTCCATCGTCTTTCCTTCAACTTGGGGTTGACTTGGGATGCGACACGTCATGGAAACAGGAAGGCTTGCAGCTGACGCTGAATCCTAAGACCGAATCCATGTTTTACTGCGTGATGTATGATTACACTTCTAGATCAGCCGGATGATGAAGAAGAGGTGTGTGTGTTAATTATAGGTCCTTGAGTTGGAGGTTTCTTGAACTTGAAATAAGGAATCTTTTCTTGCTATCCACTTTTGGTAAGAGATTAGTGCCCTATGCATTGTACATGGTAAATTTTGTACGAGTTTTTCATTCATGCTTTTATTCGGGTTGCATGATAATTCTTCATCAGAATCTCAAGTTGTTTCTACTTGAAAGAATCAAGATGCTCCTATATACTGCACTGAGATGCATATATGTTCGATTCTGATATATGTAACCCTCTCGGTTTGTATTACTTTTTAACAAAACTTTGTTATGTGTTTAATGCATGACATCTTTGACAATGCAGCGCCAAAATGCTTCTTCCCCTTCACATACATAATATCCACACTAGGATGCTTTTGCCATCTGGCCCAACAAATTAATTGCTTTTAGGAATCCTTCTAAGGTGCTATATTAGACAAAAGTGACATTTGTCCCTCCCACACTCTTTATCTCAAAGATGTTAGTTTCAGTATGTCAAAGAAAACATGACCAACTTCCAGTATAACCAGCTTCTCTTGTTTGGAGGACAGACAATTTTGCTCCATGGTATGAAGGTAAACACTTGTCATCCATTCACAATAATCAAACCGCCACATCTAGAACATTTGTTGCAAGTTGTATTTATCTACGTTTTCCTAACAATTCATGATTTCTGCATATAAAGTAACGGCTTTCAAAGCCAAAAAATCCAACTGATCAATGATGAATCCTTAAGGGAAGTGTTTAGGCTTGATCATTATGAGTAGTGACAACCACAAACTTTCTAAGCATGTCATTGAACCCAAGAAGCAAAATTCTGAGCTTAATTTCCTCACTCACACTACTTTTGAATTGCAGGCACTTTATCATTCATTATTTAGATCATGTATGCAGTTTCATACCTGGGTATTTGAATGTATTCTCTCCAAACTTAGTTGGATGTTGTAGCATACAGATTGTTAGTGTGAAGCCTAAAAAGATTGGAACATTCAACTGTTAAACAATTTTCATGATATAAAAAATTTGCATAACAACCTCATACGAAACAAAACACTTGAATAATTTACATACTTTCAAAAAAATATGAAAGTATGTATATTTCAAAAACATAATTCATATATTCATGAAAGTGCAGAAATAATTGGTTAAATAAAAGCTAACATGCTAAATACGTCTTATTTCTAAAGTGGTATCATTTGAATCAATCAACCTTTCGTTTTTTTAGATAAATACAAATTTTCTAAAATTTTAGTACGTTTTACTGCAAATTACACAATCTGAAGAGCAATCGAAGTATTCATTTAGCTTCCTCAATATTTTTTCTTTAAAATTACGCCAATAGAATATCAATCAAAATCGCATTGTATATGTAAAACTGTTAACTAATATTTAACTGATTTCTAATATTATAATATTTGCACATAGTTATCATCTAAAAGGTTTTAGCACAATTATAAATAATTCACTGTAAAATTCACTTTTCTCACTATATAGGATATATAATTCTATGTTCTATTATTTTTCATTACTCGCGATTTTATCCATGTCAATGTGTAAATTTGAAATCTGATACTGTCAAGTTCTTAAGGTTGATTGTTTTGGAAATATTCCTCTTATATTATTTTTTTTTTGCATAAAATAAATCCTAAATTTGACTGGATTCTTTGAATCAAATTCATATTCTATACACGCTTATAACATTCTTGAAATATACATTTGCTAAAATCTAATTTCGGACTCATACAAAAACACACACAAACATATATATATATATAAACACACATGACATTTTTCCCCAATAATTTCATATAATTGATACCAAATGTCAAGTTACTAAATTTTTGAAGGATGAATTAAAATGAACATGACATACAGAAATATTATTATATATATTCATCAAAAGAAAATTGAAAATAATATTTTCTTGCTGCTTGTATTGTATGCTTATAAATTAAAATGTATTGAGTATCTACATAAAAACAAACAAATAAAATAAGCATAACTAAATTTCATACTATTGCAATTTTCAAAGCCCCATGATTTTTTATCTTAAAAAATCATGGGGCAATGAAATGAAATGTGTTTATATTATTACAAATTTTATGAATACAGGTGTATATAGTATCCACAATCTGTAAAAGTATTCTTCCCAAAATCCAAATTTCACAACAAATTTCCATTTAGACTGTTTTATGTCTCCTTAGCCTTGTCAGGAAAAAAAATCCTTAATGTGATTATCATCATGTCTTTGTTATCAATAATTATAACAGAAATTAAAAAAAATATATATTTTTCATAAAATATATAATTTTGATCATAGTTTCATAAAAATTCCATCATGATAATAAAATGCAATTTACAAATGTTTCAGTACAATTTGTGATCTACTAATAAGATCTATATCATATGATATTTTTGAAATGTCATATTAATTTTAAATATAACATTCAGTAAAATAAAAAATGTCAAAAATCGAAGAAGTCAATTTATTTCTAAATTTATCAGATGATTTCATGAAATTTATATTTAAAACATAAATATACTAATAAATAAAAAATTACGCAAATAAAAAGTAACAACTTCATTCAAATATTAAATTTTTATTATAAACTGAAATAGAAAATCAGTAATCATCCTCAATATCATTCATATCAAATCATAGAAAATTGAATAAAGAATTTTCCAATGTACATCATAAATTTTGTTACAAAAATAAATAATTATATATTTTTATATATCCATATATACTTATATAAAAATGTTACAAAAATTAGTCAGAAATTATGGGTGAATTACATTTACATTTGTATCGCTTAAGTTATAATAATATATTGCAGTTTGATTCATAATGATGTGTAAACTGTCACAAGATTTGAAATTGAATTTGTATTTTTATATTTCTGAAGCATCTGCACATATATAATTTTTTTGGTATGATAAATAAGAGCCAAGCCCATTTCAATATAATACAAATTTCAAAGTCAACTTAATTTCATTAGCCACATCGTTGAATTCATCTGAAAAAATCACATACTAGACTAAGTGGGAAGTCATTAATTGTAATGAGTCTTCTTGATAAATATATAATCAAGACGAACAAAAAAAATAATTTTTGTTCGTCTTGATTATATATTTATCAAGAAGAATCATTACAATTTTTCATCTCAATCTTGCTGATTCATAAATGTCTGATTTTTTATAAAATACATATATCTTCTTGTTATCTATCTGGCATTTATGAAAAATAATATATGTTTACAGCACATTTGATTATATAGTCATGCTGAAATGATCTTTTATTATTCTATAGATAATATAAAATTGTATAAAAATAATAATTTAACTAAAATTGAATACAAATGATATTATAATTGTCACACTTCACTTAAAGGTGTCATATATAATCATAGAAGGTAAAAAATCGAAGTGCATATGAGATAATATTACGTTTAGTCCAGACCATATAACTGTAGCAGTTAAAATAGCATACTTAAGAGTGATTGATTTATATAACAAGAATGACAATAACGAGTAATTAATGACTGTATAACAAATGTTATCCTAATAATCTGAAGTCATCATGAAATATTTTGTACGACCGTGATGGGAAAAACCTCGTTAGGGTGTTGCGCATTCTAGTAATACGCAACATCAAATCGATCTTTTATCAATTCAAATTGAACTAACATATGATTCGCCAACCACCATACATCAGATACGTACTTATTTAGGTGCATTTCTTTGAGTTCGTAAAGCTCATAACTACCGAATTTTGAATCTGAAAATACTAGTTTTAATCTGGATACGCTGATTATGAAAAAGGGTAAGTCATCTCAATTGGCCCATCACTTTTTATACATACCTCAACCACAAGATTACTCTATTCTCTTCTGGAGTGAGCTCATATGTGTCTTAATCAAATATTGTATTATGAAGGGCGCCACAAATTTGATTTAAGGTTTAATTCACAATTGTTATGAGGAAAGAAGCAACAAGAGAAATGAATTGCAAGAGAAACATTTAACAATCAACAAAGGTTTAACTGACTAATTTTCATAAATTTATTCTGAATAAATAACAGAAATGACATTGAAGACTGGTAGAGTATGTTAGATATAGTTATGTGATATGTATAATTTATATAGGCTTGTTAACAGGACAGCCATGAGGAAAAATCTATATGAAGGAGCTTTCGTGTAGACATTTGAAGCACATGGTATTTGAAAGCTCAATAAAGTAAAGCCGTAATTTATGTGCAAAGGCAGTGGTTGTTCAATTGCGAGGCATTTTCCATACGATATTCACACATGTTTGTAAGTCTTGTTTTCATGTGATTTTGTGGTGCAAACTTGAAAAGTTCAGTTCATTGGAAATCGTAAATACAATTGAAAGCCACATCATTCCTTGTAAGTTGTACACTTTAATATACTCTGATAACTGTAACAGCGTTGCCGTGAAATCCCCTTATGAATTTGGAAACCATGTAGATATAAATGCAAAAGTGGAGAGTAAGTGATATCTTACAACCTATAGTTAGCCTCTTATGGTGCCGGCAATGTGAGCTATGATTAGAAAGGTATGCAAGGGTAACACACTCCTTGGCATGTTTCAAAACATACAAACATACCAAGAAGTGTGCATCAAACCTATGTAGAGAAATAACAATTGAAATATTTTCAGAAAACAAACCATCTAACAACGATGGTCAAATTGAAATAGAATGAAAATCAATCTGATGTTTTATGCTTTTGATTCTTTTACATATTCACTTACATCCTTATTGTAAATGTTCGAATACTCTTATGTTAAGATAAGCAGTTTTGGTAGGAGTTAATGTTTCAAATGACAAATTATAGTTGTAGGGCATCAAAGACAGAGGTACAACTAGAATTCTTCATTCAGGATCTCAACTTGGTGGAAGTTCGACAGGATGACAGCTGTGTATAATGTTCAAATAGGGATAAGAAAAAGTACAATAATGGAAGAGAGTCATTAGTTTGCCTCGTGTACTGTACTCTACAATCTCTATCAGACAAATTTCCAGAATACAATACAATACAATACTACGATATGCAATCATCAATAACTTATCTTGGTTTCATAAAAGGTTAAGTTTTATTCGTGTAGATTTATTTCATCTTATATGAAAAAAAGGTCAGATTTGTTAGAACATCAGTCGTAAAACAAATTGTTTGTGCTGTGTTAAAAACCGAGGATGAAACGATTTGTTCGAGGGAGAAATTCCAGGAAAGTGGTTAGGATGTAAACTTGCAAACAAATATGATTGTTGTTATTGTTTTATCTCTTCTGAGAGGTACTTGCAAATGACACGTGGAATTTGTCTTTGTGAGTGTCATGAGTTACTTTACGTACGTAAGTTTGGGAAACTGAATACTGTTCGTACTTACTTTCAAAAGTTCTTAGAACATGAGTTCGTAGGAGTGTAGTATTGTTTGGTACTTATCTAGTAAATAACCAGTGTTATATGAATCCGAATTCAGTTTACTATACGAATAAAACAGTCTTGGCAACCACCGGTGTGATGGAAGGTGACGAAAAACACCATTGATTAATTAATTTTGTTACACTAAGGGAAATGTATCAAGCCCAACTTTCACATGATATTTTCATGCATAAAATAAGTTTGAGACATTTCTTTCCAACCATCTCAACAACAATGATATAGTATGTAGCTTTCAAATAGATTTCTTCGTTATTAGATTTTTTTTTTACTTTTTTACATTCAACCGGACGATAATATGCTTAATGTTCCCGTTTTTTGGAGCTTTTTGCAATTTAGACAAAAGAAGAAGCAACAACGAGATTGCATTCAATATTCTGTTCCGACATGAAGTACTTTATTTTATCTACTTTGTAAGATCCATTCAGATAGAAAAACCCCTTCGAACAGAAGAGATTCGAATGTATTTTGTTATTTTATGGAACTAAATGCAAGAAATTTCTCTTACTGAAAGCTTATGCACAATTTAGCTATTCTATACCACAATTTATTTTGATTAAAACTGAATGAACGTCCACAGAGAACCCTATATGACTTATGATATGTCTTCAATATTGTGATACTTCAGGCTCTTTTATATCGTCTACAAATTGTAATTATTCATGATTAGGAGGTTTCTTGTGAGGATGCTACAATTTAATTTACAGAATAAGATTTCTTGTCACAACAGAACGCGTATGGAAAACTCGAAGCTACGTCACGACAGATTTTTGACTGTGAATTAAAAAAATGAGACAACAATAATTCAAGGTCAAATTTGGATAATGGAGTTGAAAAGTGCAACCAAAAATCTAGGAGTCTGAAGTTTATATAATTAATACGTACAAGGAATAGTACATGGCCACGGGCTGATTGACTTAGACGCCTGTGACCATGACAATCTGCTGTAGAATTCAACTCGAAAAGAAGAGTATGCTTGGAATACTTTGATGTACATGATTCTTTTGTACCTCTCTCCTGCTGTACCATTTGCATTTCCATTTCCACTCATCTCTATCGTTGGCTCAAAATAATGCTTATATAATGCACATCCTCGGAGTGTCATCTGATTCTTTTGCACTATAGTGAAACCAAATGAGAAGACGTTTTAAAAATATTTCTTATGGGTGGAAGATTTCACTGTTTATAATCTTTTAAACTGTGGACGTCATTTTCCTTTCCGTGCACGTGGGTCACGTTCATTGAGGAATGTTCCGAGTTTCAAATATCAATAGCTTATTCCTTGCAACCCACGAGCAAAGTGTATACTTTTCTTATTTTTGTTGGAAAGGAGAAATACACCCTTAGACCTTAGATGTTGATGCTCCGCCGCCCGCCGGTTTGGAAACGCGTCGTTCCGGTCAGTCAGAAGTTCCGACTTCCGTCAACAGGTTAGGATGTCCGTCCGTCCGGCTGGTGATTGGTTGGGTCCGATAAACCTCAGCAGCGGCGATGCGGGTTCGCTGATGGAAGAAAGGAAGGGATGGCAGCTCCCCGTGCGCTTGCTATGTCGCAGAATCTGAGCGCCGCTGCGTTTTGAATTTCGAAGGCCATTGGTGCCAAATCTGCGCGTCCTACCCGAGGTCACAATGCAACACAATGCCCCTGCGAAGAATACAAAATTTCCATTTAGACATGGAATTGGATTCAATTGCTTTGGAATTAGGAAGTTTGTTGGATGTACAGGAATTTGGGTGGGAGATTTATGTGCTGCGTATCGAGGTTAGACACAGAGGATTCTTAAAGCAAAAGCAGGCATTTTATTTTCCCCATGGTTTTTCTTCGAGGTTGGGTTTGGGATGGAGTTTTTGCGTGGAGATTTTGTAAGAATTAGCTGAATGTGGCTGAAATGAAGGTTGTCTTCAATCATGCAGAAGCTGAAGAATTGTCGAGCTGTGCGGCTTTACTTGAAGTCGTCCATTCTCGCGCCATTTTTTTCGACTTGAATAGAGATGATAGTTGTCTGTCTCAAGTTTGAGACCGTAATTTGAAGAGGGGAACAACCATGACGACGCAGGCGGTGCAAATTGGAAGTTGCACCCCTGCTTTCAGTGGTTGTTGTGAAGTGGGGAAAAATCTGAGACGACCGGGCTGCCAACTGGCCTTCTGGAGCTCGTTGAGAACATTGAATGTTAGTGGAGATGCTTTTAGAAGCAGTTCGTTGGCGGGGAAAACTGCAGGGACATTTCACTGTCAGAGGAGAAGAGAAGCCTTGGTCGTCCGCGTACGAAATGGTGGTAAGATACAATGTCTTAAGGGGCATTTTGTTCGAAGCAGATTGTTCCTGAGTAGAAATGAGTAGGTGAGTAGGAATTTTTACCAGTTCTGTCTAACTTGGGTTTGTCTGAACTGCTCCTTTATTGGACATCTTAGGACCTTCGAGTGAGTCTAATGATCCACCTCATAAGATGGCATGGATTGGAGGATCGTTGTCCCGAGATGATTCTGAAGAAGCTAAAAAGAAAGCAGAAGAGAGTGCTTTAAAATTACTTATGGTAAGGAAGATCAACAACTCTCGGGACATGCTGAATCTTTAAATTATCATCTTTAACCTGAAGTATGCATGCTGGATGGAATTCATTTCTTATAACTACTGCTATCGCCCTGGCCTGATCGTTGAATTCATCGGCAGGAGCTAAAAGAACAAGAGATAAAGGAAACCGAAGCAGAGCTACAGCTGGAGAGACAAGCTGTGGTCCAGCTAGAGCGGGAACACATTCAATCTACAATGTGGAACAAATTTTTGCTAAAAGCGCGGGGTGAACTCAAAGGAACAATGTGGGATCCTGAAGATTCACATCCTATCCCTTACAGTGAATTCTCCAGGCTACTGGATGAGGAAAGAGTCAACTATCTGGAATATGCAGAATTCGGGAAGGATGTTGCAGGTGTGTATCGATTTCTTGAACCTATTGCTCATGGGTTCAAGGGAACATGGTCATCTTTGTTCCACTCATCCAAGTTCAGGGTAAACTGAGTATACACATGCTGGGAGACTTGTGGACACATCTGGTCAATGTAGTGGCACTTATATCAAATTATTTTACATCGAATAGTTGAACTTGAGAAGCTGATCTTTCTTGAACTCTGGAATGATTACACGTCTGAGCAGCTGTGACTGTTGGATGTGCAGTTGTTCTTCCCTATTACAAAGAGGATGAACCTCTGACTGTACAACTTGAGTCAAGCGAAGTGCCGTCAACCATTGAAGAAGCTCTACAGAAAAAAGAGTTCCCTAGGGCTGACGAAAGGGAGATTGTTTATAGACGACACCCAGTGGAACAAATGCCTGCAGATGGGTGGGGTGAGGCATGGACAAAGCTGCACAAACAGCTCTACCATGTGGAAATTAGACAACCAAACTCGCTTCCCGCGCAGCTATATCCTACAATGGAAACTGCAGTAGTTTGGGGGATGCGTGTTGCATTGGCGTTGCTCTGTTACAAATGGATTGATAAAAAGCTGTACCCTTGGTATAAGCTTCCAAATCCTGAGAATCGACCAGTGTTTCGACGCCCCAAATTGAGTGTAGACAACCTGGAACTTGGAAGCCTCGGTCAAAGTAGGTAAGTTGATTGTAGAACATGGGTGTCCTTTTCAACGCTGCATGGCTTAATCTTATCAGATCAGAAAAAAACTCAAGATACATTTAGTTACAGAATGCAGATCTAGCTCCAAGGATGTGCAATCTCTATCCAAAATTCTGTCCAACTATTATGTGGGCTCTTAGAAGAGTGCTTATGTCAACGGGCTTTTCACTACGAAGTTGCTTGCAGTACGCACCTAGATAGTAGCTGCATCGTTTTCTATAAAATGCTTAAAAAGATTTTGAACTGAAAATCTCGATCGATTAAAGAAGTTAAGTGCCCTGATTTTGAAGAGTGGATGTAGTTTTGCTATCCTAATTATTTAAGTGCAATCCTCTGTTAACTCTGCTTACCATATTGGTGAATGTCGGCTTCTAACAGGGCAAGATTTATATCAGCTGAGGAGAGTACTGGTGTTACATTTGATGACTTTGCGGGTCAGGAGTATGTGAAACGGGAACTCGAAGAAGTGGTGAGAATATTGAAGGACGGCAAAGAGTTTGAAGAGTTGGGCATATATTGCCCAAAGGGGGTTTTGCTCTATGGTCCACCTGGTACTGGCAAGACGCTTTTAGCTAAGGCGATTGCTGGAGAGGCAGGGGTTCCGTTTTTCTCTGCAAGTGGATCTGAATTTGTTGAGGTACGTGCATCAAACGCGTTTTTTAGTCTTTGAGTTAATAATTTGAGACTGCTCCGAGCAACGCCATGAAGCGACGGAGTCCAATGACGGGCTAAAACCGTCTGAATTTGCTGATCAGAGGGGTTTTTCCAACTGGAACTGCTGTTGCGAAAGGGATTGGGATATCAGGATATGTCTTGTTTTCAGTTCAAGCGGCGTATATTGGAATTCAACATGTGTCATGAGGTCACAAGGTGGTTCGTAGATGCCGATTCTTTCGTCCTGTGTATAAGCATTTTAAGCTCAGAGCTAGGTCGGCTTCTGACAAAACTAACGAAGCGGTCCAAGTAGCCCAAGCCGGGAAAGAAACTCGTCATATTGACTAGAGTTGTTTTGTTCTAAGTTGAAAATGATCGAAGCCAAGACCCTTCAAGCCAGCAAAGTCGTCGAAGTTTTGGTTGACTTAATCTTGGATTTCAGAGCTCATGGTTATTCCTTTTAAAATAAGCGGGCGACTACTGGAGGAGTATAGCTCTAAAGGTTGTACTGGTTCACACAGCTGCTGTGCGCTGAATCTGTAATTGTCAGCACTACTTTGTAAGGAGTGTGGAAAGCTTACAGATGAAGGCCATGATGATTGAAGAACCCAGATGTTTCTTTCAAGTGAGAAAGAGATTAGGTGCTGTCGGCACTAATTTGATTTCAACGTGGAGAATGAGTTGGTTGATCAGAGATAATGAATCAGCTTTTAAACCTGTCCCAAACCCACTGACATGCATATTTCTCCAGTCAGCTTGGTACCAGACATCAGCCGTATCTTTCGAAACTATTATTTCGGGAAAGTGAAACATCAATGGAGGATTCAATCATTGGATGGAAAGATAATGAGTGGTTTCTGTCAGTAGTCACGTGTCCCAATTTTGCACTTTATGTTTGTTCATGACATCTTGATACGGATGAAGTGCAGATGTTTGTTGGAGTAGCAGCGGCAAGAGTCAGAGACTTATTTGCAAGGGCACGTCAGTTTGCACCTTCCATCGTCTTTATTGATGAGATTGATGCCATTGGCGCTAAGCGTGGTGGACCTGACATCGGAGGGGTGCGTTCAAAGAGTCGGTTGTGGTTTCACGGATTCATTCAATATAAATTCAGTGTGGATTTTGCGTGATCTTTTATCATGCTAATTGATTCTTTTTCTCATATCGGTTCCAAAGATTACCACGAAAGTCTTCGTTATTATATTCCTCACAATCTTGTTCACGCATGTTTGGTTACACGTTTCTGCGCTGCTTGCTACATATTTGGGCTTTTTCTGAACTGCGAACAATCTCAAATTTCTTAGTAATGTCCACGGTTGAATGTAGGTTTCAAAGGCTTGTTCTGCGTATGTGTTGCGTCTTCACTTGACCGAAAATATATCGCTGTCCTAGCCTTCCCTTACAATCTTTATGTGGTTCATATACAGGGAGGTGTTGAAAGGGAACAGGGACTGATACAAATTTTAACGGAGCTGGATGGCTTTCAAAGCAGTAACGCTAAGGTTTGGGCACAACGTCTCTTACATATGTTTTCGAAGAGCTCGGACACCCAGTTATGCACACCAGCTTTTCCCTTGCCTTCACTTGTGTTTGACGATTTCCTTTCTGATTTTGCCTTTCGCCCCTCCTAGAATGCTGAAGGAGCCTGGTAGTAATTGCCTGTACATACTTGTCAAATACTTCAAACTTGATAGTCAGTACGTCCTGTCTGTACATTTCATCTATGCAAGACGTCTAGTCAAAAGATTTCCATTCATGTGTTTATCAATATATACCTTAAGACCTAGCAGGATGTTCAACTAATCAACTTAAGGAATGCTACCTTTTTCGTGAGCTGGAAATGTTCTGAATCTTAAAGCAAATGTTTGGGCTATGTAAAGGTAATGGTAGTTGGAGCGACGAACAGGTTGGATATGTTGGATCCTGCTCTGTTGAGGAAAGGTCGGTTCGACAAGACTATAAGTGTTGGCTTACCTACAGAAGAGGGAAGATTGGCTATCTTGAGGGTAAGTGTGAGCTTACACAGGTTTGGAAAACAATCCTTTTACAATGTAACACTCTGACCAGGTGGCTTTTGAATGTCAGTCCAGCATGTTGAGTTTGTACCATTGGGATGTTTTTCGATCGCATCGATATGATCTTACATTCTTATTTCAGGTTCATGCGAGAAACAAAGGGTTCAATTCCGAGGAGGAGAAAGAGGAGCTTTTGAAAGAGATCGCCCAACAGACCTATGAATTTAGTGGTGCCGAGCTGCAGAACGTTTTGTAAGTATAAAATTCTGCTTAGAACCACTTGTTCAGCTTCAAGAAGTCTGCCCAAACCGGAACTGCTCCTTCAGAGACTGATGGCAGTTTTGACTGTATGCAGAAATGAGGCGGCGATTCTTGCTGCGAGGAAGGATAAGGACATTGTTGAGAGGGCTGAACTTCTAGAGGCCCTGAAGAGGGTAAAAACTATAACCTCACACCTTGATGTCACACCCCGGGGTGTGAAAATATTGCCAGCTCTAGTCTAGATAATGTCATTGTATTCACAGGTTTATACGAGTCAACTGTGATTGCTGTTAAAGTGATCAGTGTCCTCTCTCGCTATGAGCAAAATTGTGCACGAGGTGTTTAACTTATACGCCCTTCTTATGTGCTGCTGCAGCAAGAGGGAACATTTGCAACTGGGGAGGAAGACGTTGTCGATGCTTCTGGAGAAGCGAGAATGAGAATAGCTTACAGAGAAGCTGCTATTGCATTGTTAGAGTGCTATTTCCCAAACCCATGGCGTCCATTCACAAAGGTACATAGAATGGGTAATTTTATAGCATTTTTGTCGATTCCCTCTTTGTTTGTTGTGTATTATCACTGGAATACATGACCGAAAGAGAAGTATGGTGTCTGCTATATGCCTTGAAAGTGATTAGGTTTTTTCCCCGTTGAAGAGGTTACTTTTCTCATGTAATCAGTCAACCAACTCGATTTCATGACTTTTACTTGTCAGATTCTTGAATATTTTTCTGTTTTCATCAAATCACTCGTGAAGTTAATATGTTTCTGAGATGAATATGACATGCTAATTGTTTGTGTGGTGCAGACAAATGTTCGCAATATCGACACTTATCCTAATATGGAGTTCTCTGAACCCAAGAACCGGGTTTTCTCGAGGAAAGAAGATATGGTGAATCATATCGTTCGAGCCTGTGCGCGTAAGACGGCATTCATTACTTGCTGCCTCTTGGTCTTGTAAAGGGTACTAGTTTGAACATCTTGTTCACTGCTGAAGCATGTTGAAATGAAAATCAACCGCTTCGCTGAATGCAGTTTTTTTGTGACATTCCCCTATGCGTTTCGGTGAAAAGCAAATTATGGGGGGACCTGCTGTTATGCTTTATTGGTTTATGGAAACTTGAGCAGTACTATGCCTTTGAGATAAATGATGTTGCGCTTATTGAACAGAGATTCTCGTACCGTTGTATAAATCTTCGGCAAATCGATGCAGCTCGACCGTACTTATAGTTGCACTAGTAGTTCCATTTCACTAAGGAGATCCTTGCCATCGAAGACTATGGTCCTCATTTCATGATTCTCATTTTTCTTGTGATCAGCTAGGATTGTTGAAGAACAAATATTCGGAAGGGATCATCTTTCTTGGATATCGGGCTCAGCTCTAGGAGAAGCAGGTGTGCTTGCAGATTATCTTATATTGAGAACAGGCATGACTGCTTTGGGAAAAGTCTACTATCGCACACAACAAGACTTGATGATACATGTGAGTATCTTGACCCATTCAACCTCAACAACTTAAGGTGCCTCTCAGCTAGACTCCATCCTGTCCTCAGTTCAAGAACCTCATCATAAGAGTTGTTCTTCTCACGAATGCAATGTTTTGTATTACGATCTTCAAAGGTCGTGGACTTTTCTGATATCTGAACTAATTCTGTTGTCTTTGCAGCTTGGGCCCAAAGTAGTGGCACTGAGAGATGAATATATGCGCTGGGCAGTTGAAAAATGCCACTCCATTTTGAAGGAATACCGGTCTGCATTGGAAACTATTGCAGGTTAGATGACTTGAGGCTTCTCTCCACTTCCGGCCTACACGTTCACGCAATTGTATCTGTTGACTGCGTTTGTGAACTGAATTGAGATGATTTTTCTCAGCTTATACCTTACAGCTCCGACGGCTGTCAAGAAAGCTTATCGACTGAAGAGTAGTTAGTTACAGATCAGGTTGTTGCTTGTTTAATACTGGAGCAGTTTCTTCCTGGTGGACCTTCTACCTTTTGTGCTGAGAACACCTCTCTTTCTTCTTGTAGAATTGCTGATGGACAAAGAGGAAATAACAGCTGCTGAAATTTGGGAGATATTCAAGAAAGCACCACGCATTCCACAGGTCAGTGTTATTTTGGACCTCTCTTCCTCAACTTGTCCCCAGTTGTCACTTTTTTCTTCCGCTTTTTAATTCATGCTGTCTTGAGGGCTTTGTGTAGGCCTTGACAGGAGAACACTATCGAGTACAGTCAGCATTTATACCTCTGCCCTGTGGCACCTATGAAAGAGATAAATTTGTCGTATGATGTAGAAGTGCCTGGAATTTATAAAACTTGTAGATTTGGGAAGCAATTACTTACGAGCGTTATATAGTACTCATATTCTTCACAGAAGTCTAGTCATCTGGTTGGCGTGGATTTCGCATTGGTTACGGATTCATTCAGTGTGTTTTCTATTTCGTTCAGATTCATTACATTGAAATCAGAGGCATAATTTCGTGTGTTTTTGAGAAAGCTTGTCACTTGTGGATAACTTTGTGAAGTATAAGATTGTGTTCTGCTTCTTGTTCTGTAGCCGGAGGTAAGACCAGTAGATGAGTACGCAGCCATCATATATGCGGGACGATGGGGCGTGCAAGGGATCTCACTCTCCGGCAGAGCAACCTTCAAACCTGGGAATATTGGTTATGTAACTTTTGCTGCCCCGAGACCTCAACAGGTAAAGTTTTTTTGTCTGATCGCTCTTATAGAAGAGACATAGCTTGTTACTCTTTGTCAGCTCTTGTTTCAAACCCGAGGGCATTTCTTCGACTTTGCGGTAACTTATGCAAGAGATGGTACATCATTACGCCCACTCACGTTAAGCTTCCTGGTTTGTTGTTTGGCCATTCAGTTGAAGGTTATAAAGGACGAGACTTGGAGAATGTTAGATCAGATGAGAGAAACGAACATGGCTAAAATTGCTGAGAAGTTTGAAGAGAAGGAGGAGGTCGGCACCGTCATATCTCCTCAACAATTTTTGTAGTTTTGTCAAACTTAAATAGATAGGAGGAAAAATGTCCAGCTTTACCTATAAATTGAGTTGTGTAGCATACAAATGTTTCTTATCTTGCTCCTTCCAGATTAACTCGAGTCGTTCGAAAGACATCTTGTTTCAGTGTTCATGCATGTCGCCCACCTATTGAAGACAATCTTCCACCCTTACATAGTCAAAAGGAAAATGGGACGAATGGAATGTTAAACAGCTCACTGCGCAATCTAGCATCATAGGAGCGACTGGTGAGTCAGTACCTTCGCACCGTTGAATAACCAATTCATATTTATCTGCTTCGTGTCAAACGTGCTCGGAGGAAATGGAATATCACTCTGAGACCATCTTTGCGAGTTGAAGATGTTATCGGCTTGCGTCCTGTGTATACATACAAACGACATTCATGAATTAAATCATTTTCACTAAGAAAAAAACGTTTGGCAGACCAAGAAAACTACCGATGCATCAAATACGAGATAGATCAAACCCCAGATGAGCCTGTGGAGAAGCTAAAGAAGTTGCACTTTTTTTCCCGCTGAGGCTCAGTATCCCTCTAATCAAGCAATGAAAGATACGGTTGTGGTTGAGGGTAGAAACTATTAGTTTACCATTCGGATATATATTGCACCATCCGAGCTCCCTTTCTGTGCCTATTTATTTGGATCTATAAAGCTTCCACTCAGGACAAGATTAATGGGTAAACTCACTTTGCCAATCACCTCATTGAACTTCCTTGGGGCCCATGTCCACAATTGACAAATCTGCCAAAAGAGAAAGTGTTGTCAATGTTCCTCATATCCTCGTACTGTAGTTGGAATGTATGCAACATGCGAAGCGCATTGGCATTCAAACTTGTCTTTTCTTTCTAGTCCATACATAGTTTGAAATGGCAATGAAACGGAAGAAGCGGACCCTGATTATTTACTTCTCAATTCACATTCAAAAGCTTCAATGGTATGTTCACGTTATTTTATAACACGGATGCAATGATCGGTGTCTTGTTGTAAGTAGATAAAATTATTCAATTGGATCCTGTCCATGCTTTCTTTGATACTGAAGTAATATGAAACGCCAAGTCTGGTTTAAGATTGTATATTCTGTATACAAGCACATACTTACCATGAGGGAACAATTTGGGTGTTCGTTTGATAATGCTTCATAATATAATGAACATATGAGATAGTTAAAACACATTGAATCGCTCAAAGATCTTCAAACATCATGTACACTAAGATGTTTATATTGTATCGATTATGCTCCAGTAAACGACAATTTCATTTCTTGGTATTTTCTTTTGAAAATTGGCACAAGATACATACTAGAAAGTTAAGAAAGTTTTTGTTCTAAGCATTATTGTGAAATTTACATTCAGTAGCTAGTTATTAAAGAAGTTGAAGTAGATATGTTATAATTGTTGAAAAATAATCAACGCTGACTTTGCAACATAGAAGATTCCAGAAATTTCCAGATTCATCAAGAAATAGAAGCTTCTGGAAATTTCCAGGTTTATCAAGAAGACACTTCAATTAGATTTACTTCTAAGGTTGCTATAGAATAATCTAGATTAATTCTAGTTGAGAAAGATCTAGAAGATCTTTCTAGAATGTTGTCATGAGTCTATAAATAAGTAGGTTGTGGGTTCATTTAGATATCAAGTGATCATCAAGTGTTTGAGTCTTCCTTTAAGTCCTAAGTTGTAGTTGTTGTGTTTGAGGAAAGTTCTATAAAATTCAGTTCTATTTAGCCATTTTCTGCTCTCTGCTTTTCTAAAATTTAGGTCATTGCTTTTCTACAATAATAAATTTTCAATTTGGAGGAGCATAAATTTTACAAATCCTTCAATGTAAGAAATATTTATGTTATAATCCATGACACTTGTTTGTATTTTCATACATTAAGTTAAATTGGTGTGATAATGATATTAAGTGCAATTTTCTTGAATTATCATACCATAAAGCTATATTGATATAATGAAATGAAAATATTATTGCAATAATATATAAAAACGTGTGGAAACATAACCTCGTGTATATAATAATATTCTATACATCAAGAGAAATTTTAATTAAAAATTACGGCTTGCTTGTTATTTGAATTTTTTGTAGATTTGAGTTTCATTTTAATAATTTTTATTAACATTGACTTAATTTTCAAAAAAATATTTGTTTAAAGAATTTTTTTTGAAAATTCAATTTGATTGATATTATGTATCGTGAAGAATTCATACTTCAAATGCTTGGTAATTTATTATATATAGTGAAACTTTTCATCTATTGTAATAAAATATAATATCTTGGGTACAAGCGGTGCCTGATTTATTATCAAATTCATGCTTTGGTTGGTTATTATAGTTTTTCTATTTAGCTGTTTTTAATTTCAAATTTCCTGTAATTTTTGTAAGTTATTTAGATTGGAAATTTTATATGTCTTTAAATACAGTAAGATTATAAGTTTAATTTTTTTTTCACAAATTCATTTATTAAAATGTAGTTCTGATTTTTTTCTTTCAATTTTTATTTTTTTGTATAGGTAATTTCTGTAGATTGATGTTTTTATCCTTCATTTGTTCCATGTCTTAAAGAAATTTATTAAAAATAAATTCTTTAAAATAAGCGCCTTATGTGTTCTTGCCATGTTTCATCAAAATGGCCATTTTTTTACGAAAAATGATTTATATCACGTGAATTTTATTTTTTTTATTGTAATTTTTTATATCAAAATATTATTATTTGATCGTAAATCTTAGATTTATGATGAAATCTTATTTGATCAAATCATTTGATTTTATTTTAGATTGTTCAATGGGGAAAATGGATAAGTTTAATTTTTTTAAGAAAATGTTATATATGTTAGTGTTTACTAGTTTTGAATGCAATTTCAATACTATCATGATATTCATCTAATTCCTATGAAAAATTATTTATTAAATCATTATAGCTATTTCAAATATAAACTCGAGCGGTTGAAAGTTATCACTAATGGTTTTTTTCTAGATCATTGTGTTATTATTTTACGAATTGTGATGTTTAAGAAGTAGTATGTTGAAGAAAAGCTATGTTGCATAATTTGTAGAACAAGCAATGATTTGAATAAACATGACAGAGTAATACGTTCTTTACCTTATTTTCAGGGAATAGGGATGAAAAATCCAGAATCAACAAATTATATTTTGATATCTTTTTTTCAAAAGTAGCTACATTTAAGGTTTATTTGGCATTAATTGAGTTGGAATAATTCTATATTAATGCAATGTACAAACTTGACAGAAAGAAACATGAAATATGACTTTGCAATTTCTTCCTGAATTTTAAATTTAAATATATTACGAAGTTTCTATATTATATGAAAATGTCAAATTACTTCACATTTATGCTTCAATTTATTTCTCTTATTTTAGTATTATTTTTTTGAGAAATTTTATTTATTAAATTTTTACTAGTTTTAATCTGTTGATTCCTTTTTGAATGTTTATCACAGTTTTATGAACTACTTGCCATTATCTAGTATAACATATTCATTGTTCTCTATGCTTTTACAGCCATTGAATGCAAATGAGATTTGGAGACAATATGGAGTTCTGCGTTTCGATTCCTCATTTAATGCCAGGACCCATAAATTGTCACATATGAGTTTTCCTTTCAAGACAATCTGCTGTATTTGATTCGTGTGGTTATACTTTATTCTACAAAATAAACATAACTATTTTGATTGTGCTCGCGAAGGGGTCCTCCATTCCTCCGTCGGCTTCTATTTTCCTCCTGTCCGGGTCGATGTACTGGAATAGTTAATTTGCATGTCCGCGCATTTTCCTCTAGAAGCTCCCGAATCGGTATGCATTTACGTCCTTTGTTAGATCGACCCATCCGTCCGGCAAATACGCCAAAACAGACACAAACGCACTCGGAAAAGCAGAGCTCGATCAGCAAACTTGAGCCAACTGGAATGGCGGACCTCGAAGCACGGTCAGAATCCGCCAGAAGATGTCAGACCTGACCACAGACGGCAGACCAGAGCTCCGGCAGACGCGCAGAAGCAGACACAAACGGGCCGGGCGAAGTGCTAATCCGTGCTTTTCACCAGCATCCGTCCGTTCGTCGGCCCGGCAGGTGCGCAGAAACAGACACGCCGGCCTCCAGAGAGCAAATCCCCGATAACGTGATTGCTGTAAAGTAACCCGGAAGTAACCCGAAGTTGGGAGGGGCGGTCAGACGGACGCAGACGTGACCACGGCCGCGACAAGCCGAGAGGGAGGAGGCCGGGTTCGAACTTCGAATTGGGGCGAGCCGAGGGAAGGAGCGGAGATTACCGTTGCGCAAGCCGCCAAATTTTTTTGAAAACACAAGTCAAGGAGAAATCGAGTGCTCGCAGCGCTGATTGAGGCGGGGGATTGGATCCGGGGGCCGAGTGAGCGAGGGAGTGAGGGAGGGAAGGGGAGAGGCATTGCGCGAGGAGGTGCTGCGGGCGCAGGTGCAGGGCTGAGTGTGGGACCACGAGAGGACGGAGCGGGCGTCGAGAACGAGACGACGAGAGAGAGGAGGAGGCGGAAGGGGAAGGCGAGTGGGAGATGGTGGTGATGTGTTTCATGTGGGCTTAGGGGAGCACAAGGAGAATCCGAGGGAGAGGGAAGCGAGTCTTGTTGAGATCCTGAGCCCCCGGGAGGTTTGTGCTCCTGCTCGCTCGCTTGCTTGCTTCGTGGCTGGCTCCGCTGGCTGGCTGGCTGCAACTGCTACCACCATCGCGATGATGCGGTTCTGATTTGAACTGCGATCGCCTCTTGTGTCTGTCACGTTGAGACGTTGGGGTCGGTGGGTGGGGAGGTGGGAGGGGGGAGCGGACGATCGTTGCGAGCGGCCGAAGAGCGATTAGGGGGATTATTCGATTGGGGCGAGAGAGGAGATCAAGAGATGGTCGATTGGGCAGGTTGACATTGGGGAATTAGGCGGGGCGTGGAGTGAAGGGAACGAGAGCTGCTTTGCGTTGTCCGTTCCCTCGGGTAGAGTAGTGGAAAGAGAGGGAGATAGGAGAAGAGGAGATCGCGGTATGGTGGCATGCTTTGTCCCCTCAGCTGCTCCAGGCAATTAGCTGGACATTGAGGAAGCGATCTTTGGTTCAAGAGGTTTTTTTCCCGTGTCAAGAATGCAGAGGAATCAAAATTTGGCGGAAAGGTTAGGGTTCGAAGTCAAGTCCGTGTGTGCATTGTTACCAGATTTGATTCTTTGACAACAAGCAGCAAAGAATTTGCAAGTGGTATAAGACAGGGGTTGAGCCCGCCATATCGACGGGCTTTCACGAGGTATCTGAAGAAGGATTATTCGCGAGAACGTTAACACTTTTGTTGAAGCGGCCGGCTGGGCGGGCATAATGCTTACTGGTGCTGGAATCAAGCCGCTCAGGGAATGCATGTAGATCTGCGAGAGTCACATTGTTCTTGACTCTGCCGAACGCGGGAGCTGCATCGGTGATCTAGCGTGAATTCGAGATTCTACTTTCTGGCACGTCCCGCTTCACCTCCAGTCTTTCCAGCTACTTCAGAGCAAGGCTTTTGACGCTAGGAGAGTAGAACGGCACAATGTAGCTGCATTGTGGGCTGGTTTGGTCATATTAGGCATGTTAGTAGTAACTGCTGTTAGCCGACAGCATGCAGAGGAAATAAGTCTACAAATTGAGAGTTAGCCTCTTGTTTTCTGTTCGAAACCCACACATTCAAACCGAGTGGTTCTTTGTTGCAAATATACATTGGGCCAATCGTTCTACAACCAGCTTCGTTCGGCTGTGGAGAGACAATTGAGACCTTAGTAATGCTGTAATTCAAATGTATAATCAAGGAATGCGGAAAGTGTTCGTCCTACGCTGGTTTGTTAGTGATGTCTTGCCAATAAACCTGAAGGGAAGTCTAGAAGTCTATCTTTCAGGTTCGTGAAATAGCTTGTTCACGTGGTGGACATTGTCTTTCCGGAAGCTGCCCATCTTCTTCTTTCTCTGTTGTGTACTGTGTACCGGGGCTATCTTGAGTTGTCCAGCACAAGATAGCTTACCAAAATTCTTGTGGTGTCGCAGGTGTGATATTTTGAGATTGACACCATGGTTGAAGCCCCAGATGCACAGGTATTGTCGCATTTCACTTGCTTAGCCAATTGACTTCTAGTTCTTGTAAAATGCGATAAGTGTTGTAGTTTAACTGACATATCTTTGAGCTGTCAATTGTGCCGGATTTTGGTCGCCTTGCCGACCAGTCGATCACGTTCTTTGACCGGCTTTGTTTACTAGACTAGAAAAAGACGACGCCTGATGGGTCCTTCTAACCTGTGTAAGTCGCCCGCCAATGTCGACTCTTACTCAAATGGTCCATTACGTTGCACAGACTGGACAAACAGCGGCTGAGGCTAATAGCAATCATGAGGAGAAAAGATGGTCGATCGATGACTTCGACATTGGGAAGCCTTTAGGCCGCGGGAAATTTGGCAATGTGTACTTGGCTCGAGAGAAAAGGGTAACCATTTTGACCCTATCATTAACTTCTATCAGGTCTCTGGGGTCTCCCAATCTTTTTTGTTATGTTACCTGGGTTCACCCCTGGAGCATAGTTTAATCATCATCTTGCTCACTTGCCTTTGGTATCTGGATTTGTGTCGTGCAGAGCAAATATGTCGTGGCGCTAAAAGTGTTGTACAAGAATCAGTTGGAGCAGTCGCAGGTGGAACACCAGTTGCGTCGCGAGATCGAAATTCAAAGTCACCTTCGTCACCCCAATATTCTACGTCTGTACGGATATTTCTACGACCAGGTTAGATTCAGATTATTCTGCTTTGAAAGATTACAATTGGTGATTAGCCTCTGGCGACTTCAAATGGTGTAAGTCGAACACATTAATACGATGAGAATCTCCAGCTTCGAAAGGCAGCCTCAAGTTATATGGCGAAAATTGTAAATGCGAAAATTGTAAAGCATTTCGTCTTGCGGAAATTGAAACCGTGATTGATCTTTCACGAAAAGAGTTGCGATCATCATATCGTTCAATCCACGATTTTGTTTCAGGATTAGTGCGTAGATAAGCGGGGCGGAATGTCTGAGGAGATTTGATTCGGAGTTGATTAATTTTATGAGACTGTTGTGCAGGCGCGAGTGTACCTTATCTTGGAGTACGCTGCCAAAGGAGAGCTGTATAAAGAGCTACAACGCTGTAGAGTCTTTACGGAAAGGCGGGCCGCAGCAGTAAGAATTCCCAACTGAGCCGCCTTTGAATTGAATCTTTTCACAATGTAATCCATTCTACAAGCAAGCGTGAACGCTTCTATTTTCATTGGAAGAGTTTGTTGGAATTTTTTTTCTTGTTCTGTCTACGATCACATTCTAATATGATCCGGGCTGATCGCTGTGTTTATCTTGTCGTTCCAGTACATCGCATCACTGGCGCACGCCTTAATTTATTGCCATGAAAAGCATGTCATCCACCGTGATATAAAGCCAGAAAATTTATTGGTGGGAATCAAGGTAAGCTTTACAGATGTTAATTGACCTCCGTGCAATGGATATATGGATCCATGAATCAGCGCCGCCTTTAGCGGGTGCTTCTTTTGAAATACAGTATTATCACAACTTGCAAGAGCTATAGATGCGAATAGTGAAAATCAATTTTCTAGTTTGGATGCACGAGTCAAAGAAAGATTATTATGGATACTTCTTCCATGTTTTTTTCTGCTCTAGTCCACATTTTGAATCACTCTCTACTCGGGATAACAGGGCGAATTGAAGATTGCGGATTTTGGCTGGTCCGTGCACACTTGCAATAGAAGAAAAACTCTGTGTGGAACTCTTGACTATCTTCCTCCTGAGATGGGTAAGTACTTGTTTTAGAAGTATATTTTCCGTATATTAGAGTAGAAAGAAAAGGCCTGAGGCAATACGAACCTTTTGTTCTCTTTATTGGTTGTACAATGTAAACGTGATCTGTTTCTTATCGTTTTCCAACACTTGATATCACTGTGGAGGGTACTAAGACGATCAGAGTTGCCTGAGTTTCACCGAATGGTCATTTTTGGTACGTGCAGTGGAGGGAAAAGAGCACGACACAGGCGTAGATGTGTGGAGTCTTGGTATTCTCTGCTTCGAATTTCTCTACGGGTTCCCGCCTTTTGAAGCTGCCAAACATTCAGAGACATACAAACGGTACTTTCCGTCTTGTTTTTAGCCTACCTTTTTGTGTCGAGATTCCGCATTCTGGTATTTCATAAGACCTTCTTCATGAGGTTTCGTATATCAAATTTTTTTTAATTGGCAGTGTGATTTATAACATGGTCCGGCCCTTGCATTCGGAAGTATCTAGCAGAGGAGAAACATAAGGGCGTGTATGAGAGATTTTTGTCACTCTTGACTTCCTTTCAAAATCCAAGAGCTACCAGGATTTTGAATTACAATGTATGCAGTTGTCTTACCCCGAGAAACTTGGCATGTGCAGCATCATTCGAGTTGATCTCAAATTTCCACAAAAACCTGTTGTATCAGCCGCCGCCAAAGATCTCATCTGCAAGGTCTGGCTCATCCCTTCCGAGTTCAACAACCTCAATAGCTTATTATTTGTTGCTTGTTTCTCGCATTTTTGGGGGTCATGTGAGCTGTTCCTTTTCATCACATGACGGAGAAATCCGGATGTCTTATCAAAACGCAATTGATCCTTACACTGGACTCTGTGTTTGCAGCTTTTGGTGAAGAATTCTACTTTAAGGCTACCTCTTAAACAAGTCCTCAGCCATCCATGGATTGTAACTAATGTCGGTCCCAACGGAATCGCGCCGACAGGTCAGACAGCTGTCGTCTGAACTCCTCGACAGCTCTTACACATGTACTTTTTAAATTTAACACTGACACGCCCATTCACCTGAAAAGACTTTCACGTTAAAGTAGGCCTTCAGACTATCACCCCCTGGGCATGCCCTAACACATTGTTCTTCTTTGAAATGGGGAGGAGACTTCAAGAGACACCACAAGTTAAATTTGTGCTTGTCCTTGCCTCCCTGAGGTGTACCAACTTCCTGAGTGGACGTCGGTGTGATTTCTGGAACTGTGTACCGTGTACCTAGTGCAGTTTGAGTGAGTGATTTCTGCCCGATCCGGTGAGGGTACTGCTTGCTTGATTGGGAGGTGAGTGAAATAACCTACAGTACTGGTCCATTTCAGACCCCCCTGAGGGATCCGCCGCTGGGTCATGCCCCTTTCAGGATGGAAACAGGTTCAAGCTCTGAGCTATCTTCACACTAGTTGCTGGTGGCGTGTCGAAAGCCATACTAAATTTGCTACATAGAGCCTGCTGCGGGTATGAGGAGCAAATTTGCATATACATGCAGATTGTGCTCTTAGCTCCCAAAACTTTGTGGATTCAACATGGTCTGGGTTGAGACATTGATACACTTAGCTAGTGTGTGTATAATCGACTTCAAGAGCATCAGCCATCGCTGCAGCTTGGCCAATATTTGATGCCTATGAACGCCGGGCAAGCTCCTGCGGACCTAGGTTATTTTTCTTACTATTTACTTGTGTACCTAAGGAGACATCATGATATGACAAACAGATTGTCATTTGCTGTAATGTTATGATATAAAAAGTGTGCTCATTTCAGCATCTATCAATTTTTCAAGAGGTGACAGTTCGATAGATGAAGCCGTTCACAAAGTGGTTGATAGAGGATGTGCCTGTTTTAGTCCATCTATAAATGGTAAATGGTAAATAGATCAAGCCCGTGGGACCCAAAGGGTCAAAAGGCTAAAAAACACAATGCTATACAGTATTGACACTTGAAGTGCTCCCGAGGACGCAAGAAGAGTGATTACTGATCGTCGTATACGACTTTTGTCAGAGTTGTTACTTCATCGATGGCCAACTTTGATTATCTTCCAGCGCACGGTATCGTGACATCACATCATTAGAAAGTACAGTATTGCTAACTACATTGTTGAGGTCAAACATTTAACCGGACTTTATCCAAACTCATTTGCCGATTGCATTTAACCCGATGTAAAAGCCATATCCCAAAAGTATGTAGTGATAGTTGGGGTTCGTAAAACCGCTGTCTTTTGCAAACGAGAGATTGGTTCTTCTGCGCAAAGTACTCGTTGCTTAGAGTTCTTTCCCTGTACTTCAAGTCCTTCTACTCCTCTGAAAGTTAACAAAAAAGGTGGAGACCGCGAACAAACCGCATTGTTTCAAATCGATGACGACACACTAAGGCCAACCAAGACCAGAGGAAGTTCAGGTGAAGGAAGAGAAGAAACACACGTTCGAACCCTGCACGAATGGGCCGAATTATCTTATCTGCACCTAGTTTATAGCACTTAATATATATTATGATTTAATTGGAATATATTATACCACTTGCAATAAGGGAGTACGACCAATATTGTTGAGAGGTGTACTGATCATACAATTTAGGTGATTCTCTATGACAAGTTCATGCAGCACCATGATTACCGCCCTATCTAATATGCCACAGTATTTCATACGACTTTGGTCTCTTTGAAAAACCTAGACATCACTTGGTACATATACATCAGTACCACGACGCTATACCAAATGTGGGTTGTTTGAAATATGTAAAACATGCATTCTACTTAGATAGGAAGAGAAGATTAATTGCTTGACTCCAGTTAACAATAATTCCTAGTTATAAATCTTTTCGGATATGTGGATGAGGTGTCAATTAGCCTCTCCCCTAAAAATTAAATTGATATTTTGGTCAAATTATGTTTGTTTCAAGATTTAAATCCTAGATGCTTCAAGCAAATAATGATGAATGATTAGAAAGTTAAGTCGTTATAATGATGAATGCTTAGAAATTTAAGTCGTGATATTGTCTTTAAGCCAGCTTTGGTTTAATACTTATCCTTATGCCATGTTCATAATTATAATATCATGTACAACTCTGACATTGTTTCCAAAATGTAAGATAAATACGTATACTGGTGAAAGGAGCTAAACTTGAGCAGTCTACTGGCGTTGATCCGTGAGGTTCCTTTTGGATTTAAACTCCTTATATCGAAGGCCAACTTTGCAAATCGTTCGGTTAACGTAGGACTGCTAAAGTGCAGCTCACGGAAGAATATAACAGGACAGTTCACACTTGGGCACTGAGAGGAGGAAACGTAAGGTTCACGCCAATGCCATCGCAGTCAGTTCGCAGGACCGCTACACACGTATGTTCTGCGTACAAATAGCGAGGAGAAATATCGGACTCCACGAAATTAAATGGGTCGATGTTTATTCTCTAATTCATATTCCACCGCAGCTAAGGATCTATGTACTAACCCTTATAGCTTGCCACATCAGCAAAAGTTTACGGCTCGACACGTCATCAAACACCGGTCGGTAGACAGTAGATGAGATCTAGCAGAAAATTGGTCCACATCGATTACACAGGCAGTGGCCGACGGCGGATCTGATGACACTTCGGATGCGAGATGGGTCAAAAAGGGTAAAGAACCTGTGGATCCAAACGCCAACAGAGAATTAAACCTGTGGCTCCTTCGAGCGAAGGAAGCACGTCTGGCTCTGCCCTGCCGGGCTTCATCTGCGTCCGGTGGTTTCTCCTTCGGATTTGTGCACGGGACGATTTCTTCCGTGAGCTCCAAGTCTCCCGGCCCTTAATCCCCATCCACAGGGTCTGTGTAGCACACGCTCGCTCATTTCCGTTGCCTGGAGCTTTGTGCTCTGTCTACTCTTCTTCAAGCAGGTGAGGCCCCTTTTAGCTGCACTTCAGATTCATTGGATCTTTGGGTGGGTTTTGTGGAGCATCAGTCGGGCCTTCCTTACCGTAGGACCTCGGTTGAGGCTTGTCGCCACGTTGGGGGGTCTAGAAGCTTGAAAAGATCGGGAACGAGCGTTTTGTTGGCTGAGGGCGGACGGACGCTCTTGTGTTTTGGCATTTGGAATAGGCTTTCTGATAGATCGCGACATTTCGTGCTCGGGATTGCGAAGGTGAGCTTGTAGGCTTGAATTGTGATAAGTGAGAGAAAGAGGCTCTTTTGATTGAGGAACTGATTGGTTGGACTCATTGCGTCTGCGGTAGGGCAGTGGATTTTTCTTCGATGCAGAGATTCACTTTCACTTGGTTTGAGCTGCAATTATAAACGTGTAGATGAGCTGCAGAACTTACTGAACGATAAGTTATGGAAATGGTGGGCTTAGTTAGTCGGAATTTGACTTTAGAGTGATGTTTGTAAAAGTTGGGACATTGCACCTGAGTTGAGGTTGACGGTTAATTCCTTTGAAAAGGTTCTTGACGGAATCCGAGACATTGTCTGTAGGCTGTGTTTGACATTGGGAATCTCATAGAGACGGAGGGTGAGGGAGGAACATGTTTCAAATCGTTCACATTCTGGAAGAGATACCTTTCTACTGTTTTCTTCCCATGCAAGATTACTTTGAAATCGCTCTTGACATAGGTGGTCAAGTGCAATTCCCTTGCATTTCTTTAAAAAGTTTCGACGCATTCGACTGACAGAGTCTGTGACTTGATTCTCAGAGTTGGCTATTGCAAATTCACCAGCCATTATGGCGCAAGGATGCGCACTCTCGACTACTTTCACGACGGGGATCGTCGGTCCCTCCCAGCTTCTGCAGCGAGGGTCAGGTGGTGCATTGCAATCTATGGCCAGTCCCACTCAGATTCAGAAGCGAAGCGGTGGTCGAAGCGTTGTTGCTGTTATGGCCCCGCCACAACCACAGCAAAGATCTCCATCTTCCACCGGCTCAGTAAGTGATGGAACCCCAAGTCAATACTTGCCTTATCCATGTAATGACTGTCGTGTGGTCTACATAATCGAGTGATGAGTTTTTCCCCGACAATTTTTTTAAAATTTTGTAAATCTCTTATATTAGAGCTTGCTAATCTTGAGACGAGAATTCTGAAGCTAACAGTCACCGGTGTTGAAAATGTAGGTCAAGCACGCCATGACGATGACTGAGAAGATTCTTGCGAGAGCTTCAAACAAGGAGAGGCTGACACCTGGTGAGAATGTCTGGGTGAATGTTGATACTTTGATGACACACGATGTATGTGGACCTGGTACCATCGGAATTTTCAAGAGAGAATTTGGCGAAGATGCGAAGGTGAGAAGTTTAAGTTGGTGGATATATTTTGTTCCTTTTTGTGCTAATTTAAATATACACATGCATTGCAAAGTTATGCATATGAATGAAATGTAGGTTCCATCAGGCAAGCAACGAGAGGCTTATGATTCAAGGTCGTGTGCTTTTCTTCTCAGTCATGGGTGCTGTGAGGACGTAGGAAGGCTAGTTAAAGTTATTCCTACTAAAAAGTGAGTTTATTGTATGATGGTAGGTTTGGGACCGTGAGAAAATTATTCTTATCCCTGATCACTACATTTTTACGGCCGACGAACGTGCGAACAGAAATGTGGATATTCTTCGTGAATTTGCCCAGGAGCAAAATATCAAGTACTTTTATGATATCACGGATAAAAGCAACTTCAAGGTAAAATTACATCTGACATTTATGTCATGATCGTCAAATCTGTGAACATGAGATCAGTTTTAATGGCTTGTCCCATGTTCTCGGTTTAGATTGTTTGAGCTTTTTCTGCTTTAGTATTTGAACTGACGCTTACTCTTTGAATATTTTTTGGTTCCTCAACTTCCTTTTGTGCTTACTGATTGTGCTTCTTGTTGGTCATCGTGTACAGGCCAATCCTGACTACAAGGGAGTATGTCACGTAGCTCTTGCTCAGGAAGGGCATTGTCGCCCAGGAGAGGTGAGGTGTTTCATGCTATTTTTATCATGTTACAGCTTTTTCTTAACAAATTCTTTCCGGCTCTGGTTTCTCTAACAAGAACAATTCACATCTTTTTTTCTATTTGATGAGATCGATGTACTACTAAAAGCGTTTAGCTGCTTTTTGATCTCTCAATGTCGAGAAGGTTCATATTAAATGCGGTAAATTATGTCCACTGCAGGTGCTTTTCGGTACAGATTCACATACCTGTAATGCTGGTGCTTTCGGTCAGTTTGCCACTGGAATTGGGAACACCGACGCAGGATTTATATTCGGAACGGGAAAACTCCTAGTCAAGGTATGCATTGGATCTACATATTACCTTCTTCACTTAATCCTTTGGAGGTTTAGAAGGACTCTTTGGAACAAATCGTTGGTGCCTTTCTTAGAGCCTCAATGGATAGAAGTTTGCAAATAAACTTAATTTTATCCAACCTCAAGAATATGTGGATAGATGTTGCTCAAATCAAGAAACCACTCGATTTTATCCTGCATGTTTTAACGAAGTAAACCTTGCTATACTTGCTAAGCATGTGAGGACTTTCTTCTTATCTGGTAAATGATCGACTCAATCTGAAGTCTCAATCTGAAGTTTAGAGGAATATATTTTCTGAAATTCTTGAAATTTTTTAAAGACTCGAAGTGGAGTTGAGGTGGATTGAAATACAACCATCTGAGGTGCCTTTTTATCTGCTAGATTGATCTGAATGTTTTGTTGCCTCGGTTGGTTGCCACTAAGAGCGTTCTTTCATTTCGTGACAGGTCCCTCCTACTTTGAGATTTAGACTGGAAGGAGAGATGCCCAAATATTTGTTGGCCAAGGATCTTATTCTGCAGGTTGGAAGAAATTGCACCATCTCATTATGTCATGATTTTCGCTGTGGATAATTCATATTGGTTTGAAGATCTTAGTTTTTCCCTCTTATCATAGTGGCCTATCTCTACGTGGTTTTGTTCAGATTATTGGCGAGATTAGTGTCGCTGGAGCAACCTACAAGGCTATGGAATTCTGTGGCTCAGCTGTCGACAACATGACAGTATGTTCCAGACAATACCTATTTGGAAATGCAGGTTTTGAGTGGTTTTAAGTCATTGAAGCGCTGACATTTTTGGCATTCGGCTGATATTATTTCTGTACGGAAGATTTTGTATCGTTTGGTTTCCAGGATATGTTGTGTGTAAACCAATATTGTTTGGTCACATATAACAGGGCATTGTTTTTGGAATTTACATGTTGGAATTTTTTGTAAGTTTGATTAGCCTAGATTACTTTCTACATTTAAACGATATGTTTTGAGAAGCCACAGATTTTGAATACATTGGAAACTAAACTTTGATTATCTGCAGATGGAAGATAGAATGACTATATGCAACATGGTTGTAGAAGCCGGTGGGAAGAATGGGGTTGTCGCGGCAGACAAAGTCACGTTTCAATATCTAGAGGTGTGCTGCGTCGAAGCATCTGTTTTTGGCTAGAGTTAGATTATGTGTTCATCTTTGTTGGAAACTGAAATCAAATAGTTTTTTTGTAATATTTATTGTCTTAATATGTACCTCTAATCTGATTCGTCACTCACACCACTTTCTCTGCTCTCTTTAGGGAAAGACCACAGTTTCGTATGAACCTGTCTACAGCGACGAGTCTGCCAGGTACTGACGTGATTTATGCTATAAATTGCACTATGATGTCATTGTGGAGTGTGTAGAATTTTACCTGTCGATAGATTTTCAATGGGCTTCATCTGCGTCGATGTTTATTGCTGGTGAAGTTTTAAGAAACTCTTTTTTTTGCTCACAAATATTGCGTACATAACATCAGTGGAAACAAAGCCATGTTTCTAGTTAATTGTGGAAACTATTCTCCTCTCTAATGGCTTACTGGACTCGTGCAGCTACATTGAAGAGTATGTGTTCGATGTAACAAAACTTGAGCCTTTGGTTGCGAAGGTACTCCTCCTTTGGTGCTCAACTTCATGATACATTGTGTGGACGTATGCTGTATCCTAACTGCGTTTTTGCACTTGCTGTATTTATTTGCCTATTTTAGCTTGGGAAAACCTTTAGCCATCCGAGATTCTGATTATACTGATTCGAAGTCGGTTCTTGATCCAGTTTTTCAAATTCTATTACCATCTTTTGACTTCAATTATTATTGGATCAAGTTCCGATTATGCGCATTAATATTAACCTCTTGGCATTAAATCTCTCAATACAGCCTCATTCCCCCGACAACCGTGACACCGCACGAGCTTGCAAGGATGTGAAAATCGATAGGGTGTACATAGGATCTTGTACCGGTGGGAAGACTGAAGATTTTATTGCCGCAGCGAAAATTTTGGCCGCCTCGGTATGTGAACGGACATGATGAGATATGCTGGGACTGCACATTTATGTTAGTCTTCAGTAAAAAACTGAGAGAGTATTCTTCTTTCATTAAGTTAATATATTCTGATTTGGTATTTTTTCATGATCACTCTAGATACACCAGTGAGTGTACGTTAACATTCATAAGTCATATTTACATATTGGGGCTCCTATTTTTCACAGGGTGGAACTGTCAAAGTCCCAACCTTCCTCGTTCCTGCCACGCAAAAGGTGAATATTGGTTCCCAGTAATTTTATTTTTCCATTTTATTGCTTTTGTGGTTAGATGCATATCTAGTAGGTTACCTCGATGTCGGTAATAGTTGAGTAATACTTGCAGACGGGAGTTTGAAATCGGGTTCTGCTCATCTACTCGTTTGACTTCTCAATCGCATGTGATAGTTTTTATTGCTAAAAATACTGACTTGTCTTATTAAACAGGTGTGGATGGATTTGTATACTCTGAAAGTACCTGGGACAGATAAAACTTGCGCAGAATTGTTTGAGGCAGCGGGGTGCGATACACCCACATCGCCTTCCTGTGGTGCCTGTTTAGGTGGTCCACGTGATACTTATGCACGGTTAAATGAACCTAAGGTGACCTCCTCATTTCAAGAAATGTTGACTCACTATCTTAGTTTATAGAAAGGTTCTATAGTTTATCTCCCTCTTTCTTGCGTTTAGTTCTATTTTCAGTGTTTTGAACACACCTTTATCTGACAACCTTTTTTGGTGCAGGTTTGTGTATCAACAACAAACCGGAATTTTCCTGGAAGGATGGGACACAAAGAAGGCCAAATTTACCTCGCTTCTCCTTTCACAGCCATGGCTTCCGCCTTGACCGGCTATGTTACTGATCCTAGAGAATTTTTATAAAAATCTTGTGGTAGTATCTGTAAGTCTGAGTCAACGCGACTTCAGACAGATTTTGCTTGTAGAAGTGCCTCCAAGTCAACGAAGACTTGATCCGCTGCCAGAAAGCTGATTCCCGAAATACGGAGCGTTCACCCTTGTTACCAGCTCACATATTTGTCCGTAGAAAGTATATATCAATTTTGAACCCCATTCTATTTTCCACGGAATATTTTAAATGATCTGAAGTTGAAGATAAGCAACGATATTTCGTCCGTTCTTGTAGTGTGTGTCCCACTTCCACACTGAGCAAATCCAGTACGAACTTTGTGCACCAAGTGTTCTTCACTCTTTCTTTATCCACAGCAAATTTGCTCACTTTGAGTATGTTATAATATATCTCATGAGTTCCGCTTGGTGCGCCACTTGCAGTGCACATCTTTATAAACAACAAATCGTTGTGTATGATTTTCCCCGTCTCCCATCGTTTTCTTGTCTCAGTGTATTGGGACAGTGTAAGATTGCTCCAGATAGCTCCACTTCATGATCTTTAAATGTCACTTTATTAGTGAATGAGAGTGACCTCTATGTAATCACTACTTAATCTGATCTTGTGTACTGGAATATCGCAAGATTGTTTCTTGTAGCTCGGATTCATGATTTCTGAGCATTTCTTTGTTACAGACTCGAAGTTCTGTATGTTCTCAGTACTTAATTGGAATTAAACACGGTGGGAACTACATATCATACATTTCACTTTATTTAAGCTCTATATCTTCTCAAATTGGCAGTCTAGAGGCTAAACACGAATGAGGTTGGAGTATCGCATGGCAGGAGAATCAGAGCGTGATTGAATTAAGAGATGGTAGAAAAACTTCGCGTTTGAGGAAATTCCCAGAACTTGCGCCGTCCAGTAATTCCATTTCTTGTCACGGCTCACTTCGTTCGAATCTTGCATCTTGCCTTTGCAGATGGAAGCTCCGTAAGGTCTTAATAGGCAGTCTCCGGAGCCTTCTGGACGTCTCGAGTATTCTCTGCGCGAAAGGAATTTTCCGGACCTTACGATTTAATAAATTATTACTTTATTCACTTTGGTACCAACGGTGTGCAATTATATGTCCAGGAGGTGATGTCGATATAAAGCACTTGATGTTTATGCGTCAGGGAAAACCATCGAACATATACCACGTTCTCAAAGATTATTGTTTCTGAATGTAGACATGTTGAACCAATTGCACGAAATCAATGATACCGTCGATAAATCATTTTAATGCTTTTAGGTTTTTTCCACAAAAGGAAAGAGTTTTCCAGAAATTTTAACTAGCGACACAATATATGTTCAGTTTCTTGTTCTACAAACAGATGCACCGACTATGGAGTTCCATACAGGACAAGTATTGAAGTTCTATTTAGAGATGTTATCTGAGAAGGTTGGATGGAGGCTAGAGATTGGGTCTGTGCATGAAAACCAGGAGTAGCCAAATAGCAGGAGCATGGGTGAACTCAATCTTGCATTCGAGTGGACCACTCGGCAGTAATTGCTGCGTGGAACAAAGTCCGGTTATATCTTACGTCCTCAGAGATTCCCGGAGAATGAGATCTGCACATTCCGTTCAGCTAGTAAGGCATCCTACTAATTGCTTTGTCCATCTATATTCAGGCGATGATGTAGACACTAGACATTAGTAAGCGAACGTGCCACACAAGCGGAGTGAGAGTCTCCTGATTCGAAGTGTTCCACATGTCAATTTCTGAAGCTGGAGCTTGAGGAGGCAGAGGTTGGGATTTAGTTTCTGGAATTGAATTCGAAGTTCTCGGTGAACATTGAATACTTGGGTTGGTGGACATGGCAGCTGTGAATGCAGCGCCAATTCGAAACTTGTCATGCATATCCGCCATTGGTGAAAATTCTATCCGTCCCGAGCGCCAGGCTATCAATTGCCTGCGGGATAAACGTCAGAAAGGTCTGAGCAGGGGAAGAATGAGAGTGCTAAGAGCACGGAATGGGCGCTTTTGGACATCCAGCAGACAGAGCTCCGGCTCAAGCTGGCGCTGGAGAATCAGAATGGAGAGAGCTGGAACTTCGAAGACAGAGTCTGACAATTGCATCCAAGAAACCCACGTCGAAGATCCGCGCCCTCCTTTCAATTTGGATTTGGCTGTTCTTCTGGCAGGCTTCGCTTTTGAATCTTACAATGCTCCACGGGTGAACTGACAGCTCCCATACTCTGAAATAAATCTAAGTTTTAAGCTTTTAATATTGATCAAATTCAGAGTTTGCACTGTTTCGAATATACAGTGCCATGTACTTGTTGCTAATTGGGAGAAATTGATTCTGCTCATCCCCGCTAAATCTGAAAATTTGGACCAATTCATTATACTCAAGAATTCAGAAACTCAGACGGATGATTATTAAGTGTTGACTACTCTGTACGCAGAAAGATGAAGGCGTGCGTGAGATGGACTCGCAATATTGCGAAACAACATATCTCGCAAAGTAAGCACTGGTGTCTCCGACATTGTCATGTGATATTCGTCCTGTGCACTGCTATGAAGGAACTTGATGCGCTACAAACAGGTCTAGTTATGTTAATGTCATGGTTGGTTGCCAAATACTTCTTCTGCAAAATATTCTAATCTCAGTCTGATTTGTTATGTAAAGTAGAGGTCAAAGAGTTCCTGGTATATCACGCATATTTGTGATTTGTGAACGTTTACCTGAGTCCGTGAATTGTACCATCAGATATAGACCTTTATACGCATCCATGGTTTATATCGAGTATTGTTTAACACGGCATACATCAAATTTGTTGTATTCCTGAGGCATACATCAAGTTTGCAAGTGATATTAATCTGTAACAGAAAAATGTACATGATTGTTCAAAAATTGCTTGCAGGGAGTATGTCCAGGCTCTATATGAAGGTCAACTTTGTGTAAAAGTGAAGACTGGTTCCCACTTTCCTGGATTAGATCTCTGGGTATGAATTCTCCCCAAACTTTCCTGACCTTCTCTGGATCTTTCTTTAGATAGTTCTTTTGAAGCATGATTGAGTGTAGCCCAAGTAAATGTAAAAATCCTTCAGGTTCTTTTGGCAGTCACAAAATCGTGACAGTGAACAGAAATTTATAGAAAGTCCAATTCCTTGTAACTAACTATTATCTTCCCGAGGATTGGGGTCATCACAGGGAACCAGCGATCCTTATGTTGTTTTGAAACTTGGAGACTGCAGAGCGCAGAGTAAAACTATATGGGCGTAAGTACTCTGTTACCACTACAAACGACTGTATGTGATGTTGAAAAAAATTGATAGAAAAGCAAAGAGCTAGTTGAAGGATTGTACAAATTGGTTCGCAAACTGATGTTGATCATCTACGTGTGAATAGTCATTGTTTCGTTCTTCCATGGGATCACGTATACCAGGGAATAACAGTCAATCCGAGATATGTAAACCTTCTCTTCTTTGTACCATTTCTAATGAGTATCTTTATTCTATCAAGCAGGAGAGGGAACAAAACAGAAGAGCTTAATTACTTCAACTTCATGATCAGTTCTCTTGCACAACAACCCAAAATCGATCCGTTTTTTGCATTCTGAAACTTTTTATATGTCGTGATCCAGGACTAAGGACCCTGTCTGGAATGAAGAACTCAAACTGAACGTGAAAGACCCAACAAATCAGACTTTAAAGGTAAGGCATTGGTCGTAAAGCGTGTTGATCGTAAAGCTCAACGTGGGCGCTGCATGATCAGCTTGGAACCTAGAAACTCCGCGCACCACTACGTGATTGGGACTCGTATTGTTCAATGTTAAGTTTTGATCTTGGGTCTTAATGTGCAGACAGACTTATGAATTCGATCTGTTTTTGGGAACAGATAGCAGCATGGGATGCCAACGTTGTAACAGCTCATCGCAGGCTTGGAAACTCCGCTGTAAGTTTGGAAAGCGTTTGTGATGGTACGTCTTCCCATCCCATGTGCAATGGATGAATAATTTCCAGTTGAGGAGCATATATATGCTCCTAGCACCTAGTCAGAAAAGCATTGGACTTGAGAAACTTCTTGTGTGCTTGAAACAAAAACCGGGATGATATTCCCACGTCTTCGGATGCAAATTTTGTTTTGTAAATATGAACAGGTTGTCCTCGTGTTTTACAGGAAGAATCCATAATTTGACGATAGATCTAGAAGGCATGGGCGGAGGAGGAACTTTAAATCTGGAGGTTGGTAGCACATGAAAAATCCTATTATCTTGCTGAATCTCCCTGCCTTCTTTGTAAAACTTCTGTCTTTCCAGCATGGGTGGTGGCTCAAGTCCAGGCAGAAGGTCAAATTGAAATCTTGCCAATTCAAGACTGTTCTGGAGGCATATATTTTAAGCCTCACCTTGATGCATTTTTGAAAAATGTGTTTGCAGTATTGTCGTACCTCCGATAGGAAATCTGACATTGATGACATTCAGTTGCCACTGAATCAAATTCGTAATTTCAAATTCACCTTGTTGTTTCTCTTTTTGCAGGTTCTCAAATAGTCCTTCCTGTTCATTCATCGTAATTTTTCTTCTTCTCAACCGGTTACTACTAGCACCGCTCCGCCAGGTTGGAGTCTTTAGATTTCAAGCTTTGAGATTGAATCACTAATGACTTCAATTTGCAGGTCCTGTATAAAAGCTTTGCCGAGATGGCAGCTGAGAAAGATAAGTTCAATTTGGCGAGACTTTTCAGAGTTGATGTTCTAGAGAACGCTTTCAAAAGTGTGGTTGGAGATAATCAGATAAGCGTCGGAGATTTCTTGAAGATCCTATCCAATCCAATCCAAGAAAGGGACTCCGAGACTGAGCTAAGTAAAGAAGGGGATCCCGTGACTGAGCTAAGTAATGAAATTTCCGATACAAGGATTACTAGCTCCGAAAGAGAGAAGAGCGCAGAAGTGCAAGGCAGTAAGGATAGGGGTTTCGAATGGAATATTTTCAATACAGGAGTTCAAGAAGAAGATCCGGGCAGGACACAAGAGCGAAGGAGTTCTACTGAGATGGAGAAATATGACAAGGATGACGAGGTGGCATATTGGAAAACAATGGCTGACACTGTGTCAGAGAAATTGAAACCTCTAGGGGTTGATATTTCGGGCGTGTTTACGGACTGGGATTCTTCGAAATTTGCTGAAGATGTGAAATCCTTTGGACTCGCCTCCCAGAGGAAGGCAGAGGAGGAGTATGTCAAGCAAGGTCTGCTGTCCACTGAGGGCAGCGAATTTTCTGAAAACGCGGAGGAGAACCAGATTGAAGAACGATCTCGTGCATTTGGGTTGGATTCCATCATGCGTTTAAATCTATCACCTCCACAATCTGTTGAGAATTTGAGGAAACAAACAGATAAACTTCTCGGAGTCTGGGCATTATTCACCAAGTCTTCGAGACCTCTATCAGATGAGGCTAATGATCGAAAGGGACTTCCGAATGCGGCAAACGGCGGTTCCTCACAAAGAAAAGACGAAGAGGAAAATTCTGACGCCGGAGACAGCTCATTGTGCTTGCAGCCCAATGAGCAGAGCTCAATGTTCAGCACTGCAGAGAGTGCTATGGAAGCTTGGGCACTTTTGGCCACCACAATGGGCGGAGTGAGCCTTCTCAAATCAGATTTTAAGAAGATTTGCTTTGTAGAGAATGCGAAGACAGACACCCAAGTGAGCAGCCCTGTTGTCTCCCCTCATGTATTCATTGTCTTTGAGTTTTCCTTGTTCTTCTGTTGTCTGGCATATTGTCGCTGCTTGTGAAACACAAAGCAGACTCTAGTCCAAGGATCAGGCCATGCTCTTCTTGTTACCAGTTGAAGAGATTTTAACGGTCACCTCATGATGAAAGCACTTGCTGCTAACACGAGCCCCTGTTGCTTATCGACAAGGTTGCCATATGGAGAGATCAAAGGCGGAAGAGATTGGTCGTCGCCTTTCGAGGAACAGAACAGGTGAATTCTTCCTCTTTGGTTTGTATTGAAGTATCCTCTTGTTTTGAAGTACTCTTGTTTCGAAAATTCATAGTTATGAGGTATAGACTGTAATCGATCTCGTCTTTCAGCCCCTGCTTTCTTCCTGACAAAGCTTTTCGGAAAGAAAGGAATATTAGGGAATATGAGGTTCTTGTATCAGTGTGGACTAACTGTTTTCACAAAATTCTACATCCTAATACGATGGGTGTGCAAAGACCAGTAGTATATATCAAATTCTAAGTTTTAGTAAAATCACAGTCTTACGTGTACTCTGTGTAGTGTGTAGTTAGTTTATTGATTCCGTGTAGTTAGACGAGCAGAATGATCTCAGTTTTGGCATTAATTCACTTCTTGTCACTGTGGAAGAACTAACGCAACTGCGCAAATTTTTGATGCAGACGAAGTGGAAAGATGTACTCACGGACCTGAGTTTGATCGCAACTGGGTAAGAAAGTGTCATGTTTTTTAATCTGAAGTTGGCTATAAGTCTTGTTATTGTTAAGTTGGCTATAAGCTTAAGTTCGAATCTACAAGAACTGTGCGTTCTGCGCATCCAAGTCCCAGTGTCACCATATAGCGAATAGCATCCTCCTTGTCATAGCATATTGTTATCATTTGTTCTTATGGCCAGAGGAGGACAAACATTCTGACCCGAAGAATATGTGAACTTGAACCGCAGTTTTAATCCTGAACGAGTGGAGGGAGGCTCGAAAGATGAGATCCTGGTAGGAGCTCTAGCATGACTGTGCTCCCCATGAACGCTTCTTCTGATATCTTCCCACTTGTGAACTCGCTGGCAGAGCCAAAGTGAGCAGTAATTGCTACATATTTGGTTTACTTGTACTGACACTCATGCTAATGATTTTGGTATACTTCTGTTCTCGAGCACAGGTACATGGGGGGTTTCTCAGCGCTTACGACTCTGTGAAAGCTAGACTCCTCTCCCTTGTTCACTCATCTATTGAAATTAGGTGAGCCTCTGAGTGATTATGTCGAATGATATAGAAAATCACATTTCTGGACGGTAATTTAAGAAATGTGCTTGCGGGTTCCATGGGAGTCTGGAGTTTTATCATTTTAATGAGAGGATTTCTGAATATTGTGCCCGGATTTTCTCACTGTATCCAACAAGTTGACCTATTATGCATCGACACCATGAGCATGATATGGGAACCATACGCAGGTTTCAGAACTTTTGAGATGGCTGTCAAAGACCACGTGATGCGAGAAATGTGTATCATTCGGACTTGTAATCGTACTCAACTGGTTTGTCTTTGTTGGGCAGCGAGGATGGCTCTGAATCAGATGATTCAGAGGGGGCATGGCATATCTATGTGACTGGACACAGCCTCGGAGGTGCCTTGGCAACACTTTTCGCCCTGGACTTGGCATCGTGTCACCTTGCAAAGTACGAAAGTATTCTTCCTGCCAGAAGGACTTTTGAGACACTTGAGATCACACATAATCCATACTCATAGCTGAAAAGTCCGTAATTCTCTGATATTTGTACTGTTATCATGCCTTGACAATAGAACGAGTTTGTTGGTGCCTTCAGTTTTGTCGTACAAGCCTCTCCACGCAACCTTGCTTTTTCAGCTCTTCTGACCTGTTTGTTTGTTCGGCCATGGACAGGGAGGGCCGAATCCTCGTGACAATGTATAATTACGGTTCTCCTCGGGTGGGGAATAGTCCATTTGCCGAAAAATATAACAAGGTGCACTTCGTTTCTGTCTGATAAACCGTCAGTCGTTAGTACTTTAAGACAAAAGCAGTTTAGATGGAGATTGCAGTTTTCCAATCAAAAGAGTCATGATGTTTGTAGGAAGCTCTCTTGACTGACGACTCTCATTTGACTGTGAATCTGGTATTTTCTTCTGATGCCTCTCAATTGACCTCAAACTGCTGACTTGTTTTTCAGACTGTTAAGGACAGCTGGCGAGTGGTGAACAACCGCGACATTGTTCCTACAGTCCCTCGGCTCATGGGCTATTGTCATGTTGCTCAACCCATCTACCTCACCGCACATGACGCCAACGTGGTATGGTTCTCGTCCTTCTCCACCCAAACTAGAGAACGATAATCGCTCCAACATCATGTGGGAAAGCTCGAGCAACCTTCGTGGACTTTGATATACTCCGTATAGATGGCGTCCATGGCTCCATATTTCCGTTGGTTGACTTAGCTCTTTCTACCTGACACACACATTCAGAAGGTAAACAACCTCTTTGCCTATTTGTGCAAATGGTATCGTGACGAGAAGCGTGAGCCGAACTTGTGCAGATGTCCGACCTCCTGGACGATGGCTACAGAGGGGATGTCATCGGAGAAGCTACACCGGATGTCATACTGGGAGAGATAGTAAGCCTCGAGACCATCCGTGTGATGCAGAAGCTTCGATCATGCCCGTACCTCCATCGTTCCATTGCCGTCTTTGAATTTTAGCATCTGCGGCACTCTGTCCTGCAGCTGCTCCCTTTTGTGCAAGAGCAATGCTGATAGCGTGTAGGTTCTCACTGCATGTCTCGAATGAGACCTGGACTGAAATCTACTGCGGTGAAACAGATGAAAGGCGAGCAGAGAGTGCTTCAAAAATTACTGGACACAGAGATCACCATGCTGCGAGCCATGCGAGATGGCAGCGCAGTCATGCAGCATATGGAAGACTTCTACTACATCACATTGCTTCAGGTACAGCAGCGATTCCCTGACCCGACGTCCGAAAGCAATAAGCTTGCATCTGAGCATGTGCATAGGTTACCGTAGGGAGCGCCCTTGAAAATACACAGGGCACGCAAAGTGTGGCTTTGCATGTAGAGGGCAGTTGGAGTGAAATTTCCCGGGGCTTGATGTAGATCCGAGGGGACCTGGCACTTGGAAGCCAGGCATGCATCAGCCGGCAAGGGCTCGGAAAGTTTCGCCGGCATGCAAACATTGGGATGATAGGCACAGCTGTAGATTTGGGTGTTTCCGGGTCGGGATTTCTAAGCCTCTGACATCGAAGTAGATATTTCCATCTTTGGGAGCTGGGGAAGTCGGTAACCCCCGACGTTTTCCTAATCCCCACGACTCTGAGCACGAAGCGACTGCGCTCTGCTTTCTGCCAGCTTTGCGAGGAGTTAAGCACTGGAGAAGGTCCTTCGTGCTCCCTTTAAGATTCATTGTACAGACGCACGACTTTCCGCCATCATCCGCGGAATTCCAATCACGTGTCTGACCCACTTCGTCATTCGATAACCTCAACCTCGAAGCCATGCCCCATGGGACTCTGGACTAGCATGCAGCTCCCTTGACTCACGTGCTCTTCGCTCTTGTGCAGCGTGTCGAAGCCAGGATCTCGCACAGCAGAAAGCAATGATGTCGACGACGCGATGCAAATCGGAGCCTCGTCTTCAACTCTCTGGCTGACTTTCACCTCATCCCCACAAGACGACACTGCTAGTTTATAATATAATTTATGCTGTCTAGGTTAGTGCAGGAACGGGAAGCTGTGCTGCGCTGCAGCTGATGTATAGTCGACATTGAGTCGAGATAGAAGAGGGATCGGATCGGTACAGAAGATGCTGTCCGGGGCAAATGTACTCACCGTCGGCGAGATTTCGAGCTCTGATTCGTCAGCATCTGCGGATTATGTAGAGGAGAGTTCGCCCATGGAACTGGGTTTGCCTTTTAAGGATTGTCGGGACTCTGAGCCCTCGACAGACGGATGTGGTCCTTTGGGCCTTGCCTTGCCGGTCTGGTAGCCCGCCCGATGGCCTGATCCAGCGGAGGGTGGATCCAATCGATGTGTTTAGAGAATGCGTTGATTCAGATGGTGGATTCGCACCCTTTCGCCGGAACGGAGTCACCGGTTGGAATAATTGTGAGAGCGACTGAATTCCATATGAAATTGAAAAAGGAATCAAAGACTCTGTACATCGATCGACATTCATTTTAACAGGGGCACATGATTCGTCCTCTGGAGCATGTGTGTCTGAAGAATGTGTGCTCTGGTCTGGTTCGGTCCGGGCTGAGCAGGGCGTCGATCTCGATCTCTGCGTGACGTGATGTGATGTTCAGCGATTTGCATGCCGTGTCCCTCGTCGTCCTCACGAATGAACCGACCGAAAAGCTTCCGAGGCTGCGCTGTCTGCCGGACGAATGGCAACGACACCGATTTCGCTAGTAAGTGGCCTGAACGCTGAGCTGCGTTCACGCTCGAGTCGTGGTCCCGGAACGCGGATCGATCTGATGATCTGCGTGGAAGTCGCTCGCAGCGAGTCGGTTACATGTGACACACTCGCCTGCCGGCAAGCAAGCGCAGGGTGGTGGCGTGAATGGCAGCGGCGGCCGTCGGTGGGTGGGTACAATGAATGACGGACACGAAGTAAATGCGTGTGCGCGTGCAGAGCAGCAACGCAGGCGAGAGTAGGGATTCGATTTGAGATATATGTGCTGAGAATTTTGAGACGTCAATTTCGTGTGAGATACCAGTTCTCGACTAATTCTGAGGTCAGAATGCAGGCCCTGGAGGCGGGGGCGGAGCCATTGCAAGAGAATGGCGAGAAAGCCTTGCGCTGCATCACTCTAAAGCGTTTTGAAAAGCCTCGAGGGAAGACTTTCGGTCGTGACCTGCGCAAGCGGAATTCTGATCTGTGGCGCTGCCTTTGGAGGTACTGCTTGAGATCTGAGGAGTTAGGAATCAGATTCAAGCTCCGCTACCCTCGAGATTTCGGTGGGAAGCTGCTGTCGTAGAAAGATAAAGGGGAAATGAACTCTTCGTGTACGCGATGATGGGCTGGGTGACTGGAAATTAAATCAATCAAATTCAACTCTGTTAGTGTTCTCAAATTGGACTGGGTTTCATTTCGACATCCCTCATAAAGCCTCGACTCGAGGCCTAGAAGAGGAGGAACGATGGGATTTGCTCTAGGAAGCTGTGTGGCAGCTGCGACTGCGCCCAGAATGTTCGACGGAGTGAAGTTCAGGCCAATTGGATCGAAGAACTGGGAAACGAAATTGTCAGCTCTGTCGCTTAATTCTCTGCCCAGACGCTCAGAATATCCCGCGAATGATGGACCATCATTAGTCCCAATGAAGCGGCGATTATGCTCGAAGTCAAACTCAATAATGCGCTCGACACGAGGTTTGGCCTCCTCCATCTCCATCTCCCCCCTCCTCCTCGCGGACACAGCAATGACCAAGCGTCGGAACCGCAAGCCCTCGGTCAGAATCAGAAACGAATCCCAACAAGGCGACGACTGCGCCAATCCCAAGGGCGAGTACAGTTACAGACGATCCAGCGCCCCCAACCGTGGCGACCATTGCAGCACTGAACCCCTCGATCAGGTTCCCTCCCCTCTCTCTCTCTCTCTCTCTCTCTCTCTCGATTGTATGGAGCTGTCACGAGGTCTCGTCTACGGCTGCTGCACACTCTTAGAAGCAAGAGGCGTCTGATTATGGCCAGCAGCCATCGCAAGCATCTCATGCAAGTCAGCGAATGATGCGCACCCACATTTCAATCTAGGATCACCAATGCATGCGGCACCACCAGGGCTCGCAATGTCTGCAGCAAAAGCGGATCGATTCTGAGTGCTCATCGTTCGTCCAGAGGATGGGATTGTCGAATTGCTGAGGGGATTGGGGGTGCGGGTGCGAATTGCAGTCGGGCTACGAGATAAAAGTGAGCAAGGAGATGATGGGAGTGTTCCAGTACGTGGAGAAGGTGAAGCGAGCGAGGCTGCGCGAGCTGTCGGGGACATTGAGGCAAGTGGCGGCGGCGTGCATGGTGTTCTCGTTCGTGAAAGGGTTCGTGACGCCGCTGGTGGAGGTGTTCAAGACGGACCCGCCGAGCTGGGGCAAGCTCATCCTCTTCATCGGCGCCTTCGACGCCTTCGCCGTCTCGTACATGGCCATCAAGGCGCGCGAGCCGCTCGACAAGCTGTCGGCGCTGGCCACGGAGTTCGCCGACGAGACCGAGATGATGGGCAACATCGAGAAGGAGGAGGAGCTCATGCTCTCGCTCGCCATGGAGCTCGTCGGCCTCTTCGGCCGCCTGCGCTACCTCGCCCTCTGCACCGCCGTCGCGCAGCTCGCCCACATCATCCACGCCCTGCTCCAAGTGCGCGGCATCCAATCCAATTTGCCCCTCTACTTCTCCAATTTCGTCTCGTCCTGGTTCGGCACCCCTTGGGCCTGAGAGCTCGCGACCGCATCCTCCTCCTCCCCACCGCCATTCCATTCCATCCATGCCCCGATTTTGTTCTCGAATCTTTCGACATCGGTCTCGTCGAGTCGAGCCGATCGCTCTCGGATCCAACCGATTGACAGAATTTTGAGAAAATCCTTGTCGCCCACCGTCAGCGGAGCTGCGGTGAGTTGACTGACTCGGTATGCTCGGAATGCGCCGGGCTGGGGTGAGATTGAGGCCTGAGCTATGGTGGGGACCGAGGCGGGAACTCAGGCTCTGTCTGACTGTCAGCAGTCTAAACCCTGGGGAGTAAGTAAGTACCTCATCGCGTGGAGAGTGAAATTGCCAAGGCTCATTCATGATCACACGATCGACCTTCGATTGTGGACGTATTGCCAGAAATTACCAGATGATAATAGACACGAGCAGAGCTGCAGTTGTAGTAATAGCAGGAAGGAAGCGATTACGATAGATGTGATGAGGGTGGTCCGGGGGCGGGGTCCACTGCGAGGCCCCGGAACCTTTGCTTCAGGAGAGGGTGAAAAGAGCACCTGCTTCTGCAGCTGGTGCACTTCTGATGCGAGCCAGATCAATTGAATTGACTTTCCTCGCGGCATCAGCTCTTTGCTGTTCGGATTGCCATGGATGCACTCGACGCACGCTCAAAGGGAAGCCTTTCCGGGGCTGGGATTGGAGGAAGGCCAAGGTTTGTGGTGCACTCTATAGGTCACAGAGCTATGGACGGGTGGGAGAAGACCCTCAATTTGTCCAATTGCGGGTGGAGCAGTTAAGCCCTGCCGTGGCCAATTGGCGTGAAATTACACATCTAGGTGCAGTAGATTAGCGATAGATTTGCATTTTGACCGATCGATTCTTATGTGGCGTGGGATGAAAAGGACGATGTCAACATCAACCGAACAGAAAACATTGATGGATAGATTGATCGATCGATTGATCGATCGGGCGAGCGCTTGGATGATGAGACGGATGCATGCTACGACAGAGAGCGGGAGCCTTCCTTTGCCTTCACGACATGAGATCTAAGCTTTTCGGCATGAACGTCCTCCTCTTCCTCCTCCCTTCCCCACCTTTTGAAGATTCGGGAGATCGAAATGGGGCGAGATATAGGGGGCAGCTAATAATCATCCCGCACAGTGGCCATAGCTTCTCCAGCTTTCGGATGGGAATCTGAGTTAAAAATCTGAGGCTTGCACCACCGAGTCAAACAAAGCTCCCTCGACCTACTACACTCTCGGTGGGACCGATGCGAGCGCAAAAGAACAATGTCTCGCTCGCGCATGTCTGGCAGCGATAACTTGCCGAATAACCGGACGGATGGGAATATCAGAGCATCTATTCATCGACATCGCCCGGCTGTCCAAGCCGCAATCGCCAAGAGCGGTCGGAGGGCGAAGAAGCGCAGGCAGTGCGAAAATAATTCATTGTTCCGGTCGCTCCCCCCTCCCTTCCCAACACACACATTGCACAATGCACAGGGCCCCAAATCGCGCACGGTGTCGAGCAAGTGCGCTCGTGGAATCCAGGTGATGGCCATGGCAATGTGCACAGACAGATGCAGGTGCTGCATTGTTGCAGGCCTCGGTCTCTCCAGCTCCGGGAGAGGTCTAGAGCAAGCAAGGCAAACAACGACAAGATCCCGATTGCCGAGGCGGCAGGAGCCCCTCCTTTCACGAACTCGTCCAGCTTAGCAGAGCAGAGCAAACAAACAAACAACCGCAGCAGCAGCACCGGATGCACCGGCGCGGTGGTTTGTGTTCTGGGATTCGATGGCATGAAATCTCTGTGATGCCATTAGTCTTCATGACCGGGCTGACTTGGGCTCACTAGTGAGAGCTTCGAGCAGATAGGAATGTGGAGAAGAAGAAGTCGTGTGCTGCATGGGTCAGCCGTCGGCAAGGGCAGCCAGGAAAGGAGACAGTAGAGGTGAGATCGGTCCCACTGCCATCAAGAGAGCGCCGATGGTACAAGGGAGCGACGACAAACATATTGAAGACCTGTGGACGGGCTGAGTGAGTGGCTGGCTGGCTGGCTGGCTGCTGGCTCGGCTCGGGTAAGCTCGTTATTATAGCGCACACCAAACCAAAAGAAAGCCCAGATGGTGGGCGAACCTCCGCTTTCCCACACCAGTGACCCGGCCCAGCCAGCCAGACACCAGCAGCAGCAGCATCATCGGCAGCGGCTGAGCTGAGGGACGAGCAGTAGAAGAGTCGCACGAAGGATTCTATTCCTATTCCTATTCCTCGTCCTCGTCTTCGTCTTCGTTTCACCCCGTCGCTCCTTTGGTCGACAGTGGGACCCTCGGGCCAATTTATGTGGTGCATTGCGGACTTTGCTTCGCTAGGTCCACCATCTGGGTCTGCGACTTCCAACCACATTGCTGACAAAAGCGAGGAGGAAAAGGCAGCTCTCCCTCTATTCCTCCCTTCCCAATAGCTGCGGCAGCTGCTGCTGCTCTACAAGTCCAGTCCATTACTACTACTGCCACCGCTGTTACTACTGCTGCTGCTACCACTCGCTCGCTCCTGCGAAGGCTCAAATTGCACTCTCCTTTTTGGCTGCCTCTTCTTTTAGGACCGCTTTTGTTCGTGCTCTCAACCTCCTCGATTCAAACCACCGCAATTCCTACTCCCGCGTGTCCATAACCCACTGGCATCTCTTGCACAGCCATCTAGCTCTGGCTGGGATTCAATTGAAGGCTTCTACTACTGTCGACTACTACGCGATAGATGATTAATCACAACACTCTCTATCATTCCCCGATTCCGAGTCCCATCCGCCAAATTACGAACACGGCCCCTACTACCTCATCTACTGCTCACCTCCTGACCTGAGCTGCTGTGCTGTTGGTGCCATGGCTGCTGCTGCCCACTGCCGCTGCATACGTGAGTACGAATGCGCGAGCATGGAGACAAGGTGGTTGTTGTTGTTCGGTGCACTTTACATTACTGTTCAAATCTCTCAATCTATAGTTTATATATACAACGACAACAACTTGCAAAGGTGCTACCCTGTTGCCCTTCCCCCCCTGCTCCTCCTCCTATCCTCTCTGCTCTCTCTGCTCTGCCCTCCGTGCTCTGTGCACAGACCCCAGACCCCAGACCCTGGCCACATCCATCGATCGACTCGACCTCTATCTCTGGCCTCGCCTGCAATCTGAGCACTCTGCAGTGTAGACATGCTTTCTTCTGCATGGTCCCCTTGACATGATGCTCTCGCAGTAAAGCTTGCTTTGACCGGCTCGCTGTCCAGCGTCCACCGAGTACACAGCCGATGACTCGACGATAGTCAACTTGACCACGGTTATGGGGAGCCGCCGTGGTCACCCCTTCTGTACGGTACCGTAGAGATGAGAGAAGAGCAGTCCGGGTTCTTGGAGCACAGTGAAATACTGTACCTCTGGTACTGAAATCTTGCCAATCAACAGGGACGTCCCTAAATTTAGAGGAAAGGCTATGTGGAGCTGGAGGGGAGGGGGTTCGGCGTGAATCTAGAGAGTGTCTTTTGTCCGAGAGCAAAGCTGCTCCAAATTGGTTGGTTTGCGTGGCGGCCCTTGATTGGCGCATTGCGTGTTAGTGCGCATCTGGTTCCGAATGTCAGTAGCTCCCAAATCGTCCAAAATCGTTCACAGTGAGTTCGTTGTCGTTGATTTGTGCCCTTCGAAGACCAGAAGTCGTTAGTGTGTGTGGACTTGTTGCAGCCATCGTGGTTTTAGGGATTTGAGCTTTGCTTGCCAGCGAATAAAATTTTGAAGCTCCAACTCCACTGTAGGCTTCGAGTTGAAACGAAGTGGAACTTCGCTCTTATTTATTGGAATGTTAGATCATGGACACCACCAGCTTTAATGAAAGGAGATAATCTCCATGACAAGTAGCAAAGATAGGAGGGTCCGACATTCAGTAGTCACAATGTGCTGCTTCAACTTTCATCCCTTTGACAGCACATGGTCATTAAGATCTCAAATTGAGAAAGTGTATATGATAGACCACATACTAGAGATACAAATTTGCCAAAATATAATAAACCCAAAAAGTTAAACGAAAGGTCGAGTTTCTTATTCGAAGATAAACCCGAAAACTATCTAGACCGTGGAAATGGCCATAACGTTTTCATCACACACGAAATCACGATAGGGTGATGGAAAACATTTCAGCAACTTGTGAAGGTGGCATCTTAATTGCCATTCTCACAAACACACACGATTCGAGCTAACGCCAAGGAGTCTAAATTAACAGTAAAACACATGATGTTGAGAATGTGAACAGCTCTCTTGATGCAAAATAATCTTGACACGAAATCACAAAACTATAATTGACATTGATGTTCTTAAAATTAAGTATTTGATGTCAGATCTACGTATACTCATGTTTAAATGGTACAGATATAGAATCTTTTTATTTCAGGAGCAAAAATATAAAATTTTAATTTTAATAAATTTTCCTATTTCTACAATTAAAAAATCTACACATTTTTTACAATTTTAATTTCTAATAAGCTAAAATTTCCTTTTTTTTCTTTCAAAACTATATGTAAAAAATATTTTCGAAATTATTATTTTTTCAAATAAATATATTCATATTTTTCGGGATATGTACATGTTATCGTATGATTATTTTTTATTAACTCTACAAAATAAATATGAAAAACAGTCACAGAATTTATAAAAAGTTCAGCAAACCAAAAAAATCGTATAATCTATGGATGAATAAAAAAATTATAATATTATTCCTCAAAATTAAAACCAGTGTAAACGTCAGAACGGGTGCCATTAGAAAAATAAAAATATTCGCGCTACTAGGCAATATATATCTCTGGATAAGCCAAACTGGAAGAAGAAGCAAATAAAAAAGAAACACCAATTAAGATCAAAGAAAGTAGCAAACTGATTACTAAATAGACAAAAATAGGTGCAAATTCCATAACTCAAGAACCACTTTTTTAAAAGGAGAATAGTTCCAATGGTAGAACAATGGTCTCCAAAACCAAAGGTTAAGGGTTCGAATCCCTTTTCTCCTGATTTAACAACGAATGTGAAAACCCGAGGCGCTAAGCGCTTGTTTATCCCATCCTTAATTCCGGAAAGGAAGCGCCCCCTCTGCAACGACGCTATGTTGAAAACAAAATTGAAAATATTTTACATTCGTTTTCCTAAAAAAATAAGTATATATCTAAAAAAACGTCCAAATTCATCATTGATTTCTTTTCTGGATGCTCTTAGTTTAATATAATCGTATTTATTACTTTAAACAAAATTTCTATTTAAATCTGAGTAAAACTGAAATATTTTTTATTTTATTAAAAAAAATTATTCTTGAAATATCTAGGAATAAAAATATCTCAATTTTTTATTTCCTAATATTCTTTGATATTTTCAAATGTAATCTATAAATTTCTAGTTTTCCAATTTCACTAAAAATACCATATATGATATTTTTAGTTTTTAATTGAAAAATCACTTTTATAGATTAATTTTATGTTTCAAATATAATTTTTTAGAATTTTTGTCAAATTAAGTCTATTGTAATGATATGTTCAATGTATGACTACAAAGGCATTATCGTGATTTGAATTCATCTTACATTTGAGCAATCAAATGATGAATCTTCAAGATTTATTTTAGTTTATAAATTTTCACAATGTGATGTACGAGTCTTAAATTTAAAAATCATCAACTCATATTCAAAAGTACATCATTATGTGTTAAACAAGTAATATATAAAATTATTGAAGTTGAGATTTAACAACTTACAAGTCAATATCATTAGAAGTAAGTTACATGCTAACATAATTTTTTGAATTTATTTTTCAAAAAGTAGATTTTGCTTTACTCATGATGTGAATTTATATTTATCCAATTAATTTATATTATCAAATTATTCTATGCTATAATTAACTCAATCATGGTGTACTAAAAAATGTGTTATATTCAAACTTTCAAATAATGTATGATTAACATGATGATTTTCACATAGAGACATATAAATTGAATTTTGATATAATATTTTGTTTGCTTGTGGATCATTGATGAGTTACATGTATCAAAAATATATATTTAGATTTATTTATATATAATTATATTTTATTTTTATTTAAATAATTATCACAATTTTCATGAATATTAAATATTAAACATATTAATGTACATTTTTGTTTCACATTACTATATTTGAATACGAAATTTGTGTATAATGTGGTGGATTACAAAATTGCATCAAAAAAGTTTCACAATCCAATAATACTAGACCAATTTAGTGAACTTAGATAGGAAGTATATAAGCTTGATAGCTAGAGAAGTTATACATGGATTAGGTAGGACAATCAACTTGAAAAGTAAATCAAAATTAGAATCAACTGATTTGTGATAAAAGTTGGAGTTTCATACAAGATAATATTATGCACAACATTTGTTCTCAAAGCGTGTATGCGGTAGTAGTGGTGGACAACATATACTCCATGTTGTTTGATGTTGATGTTGTTGGAAACTTAGATATTTATTCTCACGTATATCTTATTTTTCTTATTGATTAGAATATAAATGGATTCGTAGACATACATTTGTGAATCTTGATAGCTCTATTCTCTATACAGTGGGTAAAGAGTTGTGAGTTGAATAGTTCCACAAGCGAATAGAAAAAAATTATAAACAAAAATACATGCAGAAATCTTTCAGAAAGGTTGAACTGATTGATGATATTCGATTGACTTCGAGTGAGGATAGAAAAATGTTACCTCTATAGATTACATTTATTTCACAAAGAAAAAGCAATTCCTGCATGAGGGTACATTTTGATCCATTATGAATGCCCAACGTCAAGGCTACTTCCAAAAGCAAAGATATTTCTCTTTATATCATTCAATGATCACTCACATGCATGTTCGTATGTATGACAAACACATGTTGTTGGTGCTAATATCAAAAAAGTTTAATATTATCCCTTATACGGATGTTAGACATCTTCTTACTCTTAGGTTACTGTTATGGATATAAAAACCGCTACCCAAAACCCACTATCTCACGACAGACTTTCTTTATGAAGTCTCAGTTCAGTATCCGACCTACAACAGCCACAATAGCTGAAAAAGTGGGCTTTAATGGCGGTTGTAAGAAAGTGCCGTCATATTTGGATTCTCCATTAGGTTTCTGTGTGGACAAACTTTAGTGGACATAACCCTCCACTTCTTTAGTTATAGTATGAGAAGTTGCATGGCTGTGGACTTGTGGGAAAGCAAAGGACCATGCTCAAAAGTTGTTACACGATCTTTCCCCTGCCCCAATTACTTTGTGAATGCAAGGCAGGGGGTTGTAATTTTCTCTTTCTGGTTCCTCGCTGCCCTCGGGAACGCAGCGTGGTAAGAAAGGAAGGAATGTAAAATTTCATTTTAATAAAGGGGAAAATAAGTACCAACCACAATTGAGAACGTGAGGAGCTCAGTGCGGCGTATGGTCAAAGCATAATATTCTTGCTGTCTTTTTCCCAAGGAATAAAATATTCCACTCTTTACTGGAAAGGAGAAGCTTTTAATCAAAAAACAAACGGGGCCAAGTGGTAGCCAAAAAGATCTTGGTATTTTGTTCAAAATTCCGAGATTTGACATGTCTTTGATCCACCTTCTTTTCAGTTTCGAAAGGACCAGCCCAGCGTAAGATGACATAATCAATCAACACCAGTGTCCGAATCAAAGCCTAAGGGCGTAATTGATATATAGTACTGTTGCTACGTTTTCCATGAAACCTCAGTTTATTCTTGACTAGGGTTTGTGAATAGTAGTAACGTTGTTCATTATTGTGGTCGTGTTGGAACAAAAAAACATCCAATTCTTACACAGTATCCAAAATCCAAAAGTTTACAATTAAACTACGTCATATTGTAGACTACAGTAGCCGATACGTTAGCAAGATACATGGTCGCATGTATACCTTGTTGAGGAATCATTGTGGTGAAATCATTCAATGATAGGGCTAATTATACGTATTCGAGAATGAATAATTCGGGAGTCATGTACCCACGTGTCGCGTAGAGAAGTGGCTGGACAAAAGACAATCTCCCTTAAATAGAGAAGATTGCCAGCAAAGGTTCCTATATTATTTTGATCTTGACATTTCAAAGTCAGTCGACATGGATGGCAGGGCGAGAACACGTGGCCATGCTAGAAAGGCTTTTTCATGTATGTTGATGATGGGTCATGCATGCGTTGAGAAAGTCATGCTAGAATTTCCTGCGCCAATCTGGTTGCGTCCCCATGCGCCGGTCCGCTCCTAGCTATACGTGGTATGCTGTGGTTGTTGCTCGCCACTCCAGTCCATCGGACTCCACCCCTTTCCAGCATTCCCGTCACCCGGTTTCCAAACCGCAGAACGCTCTGTCCGTTTCCTGGGATCCCGGGCGGACAATGGTTGACTTTAATCTCCGGGTTGACAATGGTACACTGTGCCGGTTTGGGACCACCGGCCGGTTCCGATCGTAGATACAGTATGAATGTGACTTATACAGACTGTTCAAATTTAGATTTCTGTGCCAGTGGTGCAAATTGCCGGTACTTTGCTTGCCTGCCGCATATTGACATTGCCTTGACGACTTTTCGACGAAAAACATTATACGACACCGAAAACCTTATTCTATTCTTACACCGAGCTTTCGCATTTGAGCAAACGCGCGGCTGAGGCCTTAAAATATTGCGCGTTGCCCTAGTTCCTCTGCCCTGCCCTGCCCCACCCGGCCTGTCTTGTCAGAAGAGATCCGTGCAGATAAAACTCTGGCACTCTTTCGAAGTGGCCGTAAAAGTAGAAATGTGCAGCAAAGTATGTGTTGAGAACCCATGGAGGCATCTCAAAAAGGCCTGCGGTAAAGTGTCACGACGAATGACTCGATGTCCCTCTAACCGTGGTTAACTTGACCGGACCATCCCTCGTCTTTGGAGAAGTTGAGAGCGTGGTTTGGACCATTGAGGTGTAACCTGTAGTAGAGTCACCTCCTCCCTTGGAGGTGACCCCAAATCGTTATCACGGAGCCTGATGAGAAAGCA